CAGACGCATTGAGTTGTTTTTAAATTCGCGCAGATACATTATTAATGCATGCATTTGACGTATTTCTACCAAGAAAAACAAGGACAACTTGAAGAGCATACGTCCAATGACAGACGTTACTTTGAATATGAAATGAAGTGAGTTCATTTTGGAGTCAATTTATAAGAATATACTTAGAATTTTGTATGTCTCAATATCTTCCACTAAGATAAACCGTACTGCTGAGTTTAAACAAGTCTTGGCGTCGATATACTAAAAAGAAAACGCTAGGTACAGTTTTCTTTTGAAGAATAACTAACTTATTTGGGAAATCCATTCTCTACTACTCACCTTTTCCTAATTGGTGTCAGGTAGTAGGTTGCTCTAAATTCGCTTCGGTAAACTTGTATCTTGTAACCGTCTAATAAAATTCGGTGTTCAAGTGCGTTCCTGAAAATTAGTAAAATTCAATCAATCTGTGAAAGTTATTATCGTCATCAAATGTATGCTACATCATAGTATCTTACGGATTGTAAGGTTCTGGCCGGGGAACGTCGTTCATCGCTTCTATATTTTTGTCGTTCATATCATAATTGACATCAATAACGTATGAGCCCACCAGCTCTCTGAAACACGTCAAAGCACCTTTAGTTTTCCAATATATCTGTCACATTCTATAATTAATCGAATAAAAAAACACGCACTCTGTAAATACTTTCTCGAAGAAATATAGGATTCTATTTCCATCTTGGCGTTGAACCAATTTTGCAGGCGTATCAAATACCTGCAAAACGACCGGTTTGCCGGTATTAACAGCATCAATCACTTGTTCGGCTAGTGGCACCACGAATTTTTTAATCACGTGAGCAGGCCATTTTGCAGGGACTGCGATTGTATCGGTCAGATTGACGTACCGAGTCACTAAACGATCACACATTTTCAAAAATAACCAACTATCAACTAACTTTAATCAATCCAAAATCTCGCTTTTATAGTAAGCATTTATCAAGGATGAAATAATAATATAATAATGTTAATGAAACCACGTAGACGTGCGTGCTTCGATAAGTATCACTTTTTTATAGCCTTGATTTATTACCACTAGGATATCTTGTACGAAAACTGATGCGCCATAAAAACGATTACGAGGCAATAAGCGATGTACATTTAACTTCAACTCCATTTCGTTATCACCGACATCCATTTATGTTACTGAAATTAGTAGACTGATTGACATCTGTGACGCAGTGATGGGTCAATCGTCACGATCAAGGGCAAGGTAACGCGTAACAAACGGCTGTTCCCATTCTCATTGCAGACAACGCTGTCTAATGACATTAATGCGATAAAGTGTCATGATAATATTATTTGCTAGAAAGCTGGTATCAAATTTAACGTATATTGCCGTTTTAAGAATTAAATTAGGTTGGATTATATTTTTTGTTGATTAACTGGTTACTGCGCCAAGCAGTGAATAAACTTATATCCTTGACTTGTCATTGCGCTTGGAGTTCACTCACCGAATGCCATAAAGGGGAGGTGCTGCACTTGAAACATAAAAATTTTGTTTATTTTCTGCTTCGCCTCGGGCTTCAAATTTACAATTTCTTTTCTCGTAAATTCGCGCCACAAACCTAAGGTTCATACCGCATATCGACGTTGTATGAACAAATCACCTCTTTGTAGCCTTATGAAATAAATTACTATTTCTATCAAAGTACTTTCATTTCTTCGTGTTAATAAGTACTGTTAGACTGAAAAAACTTATGTTACTTGTATAATTTTTAAAATACATTTTATTTGAGTACACAATAAATAACTAAATGATTAAATATCTACGGAGAAAATTTTAAATAAATCATATTGTTATAATTGTAGCATTTTTATATATCACAATTCATGCCTTTTGCTTACTTAAAAATGAAAATTAAATTGCTTTCAATATATTTATCAAAGTATTGACTTAAGCCAACTGTCAAAGATAGAAAAAAAAGTTTTTTCGTGCATTTCAAAGAATTGTAAATATTTAAATATTGAAAAATGAAACTTCCTCCTACTTAAGTTGAGTTAAATAAATTATTAGAAAATAATAATGATTTAAATCGTATTATTAGTGATTTTTCTTGTTGACTGTCACATTTTTATCATCTCTCCCCTACTACGCAGTAACATTGAATAAAAATGAATGTAAAGGCGTAAATAAGCAAACACCCACCTGACTTACCGATTGAAATTCAGAACTAACCTACTACAACTTGTTTATTATTAACATAGACCATAAACTCAGCTATCAATAGAATTGTCAGCGCGTTGGCTGAACCATGCGATAATAAAAAAAATTTGACAGTAATTGTAGCTCGCTGAATAATAAATATGCAGATTTGATAAATATGCAGATTTTATAGAGCTCAAGGAATTTTTTATGCACCGTGTGGAAAGCATGGCGTGAATTTCCGACCAATGATAATTGAAGAAACGTCAAACCTTAAGTTCCATGAGAAAAAGCTCTATGATGTCATTAGCTGACCCGTTATCAGTTGAGCTTGACCTTATCGCGTGATGTTCGCCTGTGACTGAAATTATTCATCTGTATCTTTACTTGATACGCATATTTATTTTCTAATTTGATTTATCTTCCAACAAATTAATTCGTCAACGACAAATTAAATTGAAGCGATAACCTCATATAATTGAAATTACAATTATATAAATAACATCTTAACGATGTTTTTTATGAGTATGTTTGTAATTAAAACTTAAGTAAGCGTAATGTAAATCGTTAAATTTTAGCAGACCAATTGCGAGCCAGCTGAAGTGTTAATTGACTTAAATAAACAAACATATCAAATACGTAGACAATATTGTTAAATACTGTTGTCTGAAATGATGAATTTTTTTAACATCAAACTGCAACTTATTGGGTAATTTAATTACTATAAACACATCAATAAAAACTCGAAACGTCGCGAGATAATAAACAATCTTCAGTTTACTTTGATCTTACAATTTCTCAAATATCAATATAATATATCAAAGTCTTTTCATCGCGACTTCACAGAGAGTAAGCATCATCAATTGACATGTCCGATCTACGTTTTAATATTTATTACAAAAGTTAATCTGTACATAGGAAGACTTGAGTAGTGAAACTTAAATACGAGACATAAAGTAGAACACTTTTGTACCGGGTAGCTCAAATAATAAAACAGCCGACATGTCTTCGGAAGATTTCAGGTTCGAATCCCCGTCAAAATTTTTTCTCACATATTCTATAACTCCCACTGAATGTAGAACGCTTCACTGTTATGAGACCATGAAAATAACAACACGCACCTAATTAAATTCCGTAATAATATCGGTCCAATAACGCACGCAAAGATTCTTCTCACAATATGGCAGCTTGAATTTCTGTTCGGAATACCATAGGAACAAGCCGACGTAATATAGTCATGGAATTACATTAAAAAAATATGTTAAAATTAGGCAGTAGGCCAGCGACAAGCAAATAGGAACTCTCTCTACGTCACTATAAAGCGGACTTACGCTTGGCGATCGTATATGGCCGCGTAGTCTGACTGGTAACTATCATACTACCGGAGAAACATGATCGCCATATAATATTAATTTCACGCTTCTGTGGAGCATGTTGCAGAAATTATTTTGCGGTTTTTAGAAAGATTTATTATGTTATTACACGCATTCTGGGCGTCTTGAGCTACTTATAGCATCAGCTAGAAACTGCGAAATTCTTTAGATAATTTATAGGTATATAACACGAAAAGAGTTAGATTCTTGAATGTCAATCTCATTAGATTCATTATGGAACTATAATGAAAAGTTTTAAGCACACTCACAGTTTTTGTTCAGTCAGTTTACGAAAATTTTTTATATATGTTTATGTAACAGTTACATGGTCAAATTTACTATGGTCCCTAGTAAATATTGATTGGTACAATATGATATTCTTAAATTTTTATGGTAATATTTTGAATTGAGTCATTAAGGTTCAGTCTTATTATGTATGCATAGTAAATTTCTACAGAAATTTCTCACCGTGTACTTAAACTCTTTTACATCATATTCGCAATACCAATTCATTAAAAAAGAGTATACCAATAGGACTTAAACTTTTTTTTCAGTGTATAAATAGTTATTAATTATTATTAATTAAGTATTTAACTTTAATAAAATTCATTACAAATTGTTTTTAGTAGGTTAATAGATTTTTTATAGCTTAGTACAGAAAAAGAAAACCTTAATCGTCCAATAATTGGTGCATTTACCCTATTTAGAAGAAAAACAAAAATTTTAGATTTCAGCAGACGTCACATTGCTATGAAAATATTTGGGTTTATCGGATAAATTGACGTAATTAATTTTCTCTAACGTCAATCGCGTGCCTAATGCCAAAAGGGCGTATTACAGCAGTTAGATAGGGTTCCATGCCAAAAGGGCGTATAAAAAAAATCAGTATTTTTCAAAATTTCGAAACACAATCTTCAAAATTGTCCGGAGAAGGTTGTATAAAAAAAAATTTTGAAAAAATTAACATTTTCGATAGTAGTAACTTTAAATTTTCATCATCTTGGACAGACCCCAAGACCAATGATTAAAAAAGCATATGAATTGAAAATTTTTTCTCGTACTAAAATGTTTATATTTTTTATAAATTTATTTTTTTTCAGACGAAAATGTAGAAGATGCAGATAGAGAATATGCAGGAATTGTACCCCAATAAACTTTCCGTATTTTGATATTATTAGTTTTTTCTTGTATTTTTTAACTTCGAATAATTATAATTATTTCTTGCCTGTTATAGCTTGTCACAGGGTTTTTATTCCCTGTGTGCGTCCCTCCCTGCGCCTAAATTTGGTAACAGATCCACACTCGGTGTGTCTCGGATTTTATTATTTTGTATTTATTTATTAATTTATTTACAGAACTTATTACTATTATTATTATCTATATTTGAAATTTTTGATATTATTGGCATTAATTTGAGAATTAATTTTACCTTTATTTCAGATATTTATTATTATTATTATTATTATTATTATTATTTGTATGTATCGCCGTAAATCATTGCTACAGTACCGGATTTTGTTATCATAGCCTTTACTCGCACGGGTGAAGTCCCGTATTATCGATCGCGAGCAAAGTTCTATTAAATTTGGGAAAATGGCAAAAGAGGCCCTCGTGATCGAACACGAGGCCTCGAACGTTTTACGGTGACGTAGATTGAACAGACACGCGGGAGCCCGCTTGGTGTGTGGAAGACACGCGGTAGCCTGCAGAGTGTAAGAGTGTGGATCTGGCACCTTTGTTCGAGTTTCCTTTTTCTGGTGAGTACTCACAAGTTGAGCCATTTCGTTAACCGTACACCGCTGTCTCCTGGCTAAAATATTTCGTTCTTTTTGTTTAATTGAATTTACTATCGATTTATCGGGTTGATTCCGTAGCGAGTAAGGGGTATCACGATAGAATATATACCTGTCCCGAAAGCCGCGTGTGGGTCCCTGAATTGGCCAGTAATCGCTTAATTAAAATATTACGTCATCATTAATTATTTTTGCAAGTATTATTTGTGAACGCAAATTATATTCTGATTATTGTTAAGATTATTGTTTTTCATTGCGGCTATTGTTATTCTCGAACGCAATATTGTAAATAAGTTGAAGAAAAAGTTATATATAGATTTAGTTTTAAGCAACTTTGTTTTGAATAAATTGTTTGTTTATTTTTTTATATTTGCTGATTCATTAATGAATTATTTATGTAAATTAATTTCTAAATTCTTCTCCTGCAACTCATCTTCCTATTTCAACTAATTAATATAAAGTACTATTTTATGATTAATTACTTATGATTTCTGAATGTAAATTCTGTCTTAATCTCAACTTTAATTATTTTGTGGCTTACTTTTTCATTCACATTAATTTAAATCGTTGATTGATCGTCCGGGGCAGCCCCTGGAATTTTGAATTATTTTGGTAATTTTTAGATAAAATTACCTGGCGTCCTATCGTGCACTAACCCAGCCTGAGGAGTTTCCGGGCTACTCTTATTATTTTTATGACATATTTAAAAAGGGCGAGCGTAAATACTCTACCCAGCCGGTATCTCCGCCTCCGGTAAAATTTTGTTTAAATTATGGGGAAAAGTATTGTTACACTATGTAATTCTAAAACACAAAAATAACAGTCATCAATGTGATTTTTCGGTTCTGTCCAAATCATGGGCACATTGAACTTTAAATGATTACGTTTACTGTTTGCCCACTGTCTTAGATGTTCACTACACAACTTTCACACAATGTTTTGAACCCACGACTTGTTCAGAACTTTCATCTCTATTTTACAGATATCAATGTATGTCTTCTTCACTGAATCTGTTATAGGTTTTCTAAACTTTTTCACTACATATTCACCACAAATGTAGCAAAATGTATTTGGATTATTTACAAAACACCTTCTCGACGACGGCATGTCAGTATTATTGATTAAAAAAAGATTTCTCGATTATAATACATTAATTATGATAAAATAGGTTTTTTAGGATTGTAACGGGGTAAAATTACCTTAAATCGATAAGTCGCCGGATATCGATAACTATTCGACGCAGCACTGATGCGTCTCGGTCTTCGGGACCTATGTAGCGAGTAAGAGGGGATAGTTTTGGGTTATCATAGTTAATCCGTGCATTGCAAAGGACAAAAGTAGTTTAGCCACCGGAACAGTGGCACGGAGAAGAAGAATCCAGTCCAATCCCTGGAGGAAGTCGACAACCACTATGGTTTCAACAGGGAGTTCGATCGTTCATCTATTTACTCAGGTATCTAAAAAGTACTCCGTGGGCGGGAAGTAGACCGTGGGTTTTATACTCGGTTCATTTTACCTCTTCTCTTTTTATATTATTCATTATTTATTTAATTGGTAATAATTCAACAATTATTAAATTTGAATTGGTTAATATTCGTTAGGCGGTGCTGAGTGGCCCTCAAGGGGATTTTCACCCGAGCGTCACTCAAAGACCTTGTGGTGTAAAGTTCGTGAGAATTTATTTGTTTAAAATTTAATTTACTCGGTTATTTGTTAAATTATTGAACATCTGGAAATGGTTTTGAATTGTACACTTGATACTGCACAATTTAGTCAAATAAAAACCAATGGTAAATTTTTCAAAATTGGTCAAAACGTTTAAGTACTAACGAATATTTGGCGTCCATTTTAAATCCGCAAATTCTTGTTAATTATTTTTTGCTGAATATTTTACTAAGAATTATTGAATTATTAGTTATTAATATTATTTATTGCGAATTTATTTACTCCTATTTCGGCGCATTTAAGACTGATTAAATCAAAAGAATTTTATGATAATTAATTTTGATATTGAGATAATTTAATATATAATTATTTATTTGAACTGAATTAGTTTTACTAAGTTAATTTATTGTAATTGAACTTAAGATCTAAATGTTATTTAGATAATTAAATTATCAATTTGTAGAAAATTATTTATAAATTATTCATCGGCGTGGATATTAAGTCCAGGAATATTTAGTTAGAATTATATGATGAATATTATTAAGAGTTTCTTTTAACGTTGAATATTAAATTCAGGTTTAGAACAATTTCGTACGTCGAATTGAGTTCGGATTTTTGGTGAAATTAAATTTATTAGTTTTGAAAGTATTGCATAATTTATTCGCTAGCTGATGACTGAAGATTTTAAGTTGAGATTTAACATTGATATTATTCTTTAAAATATTTAAATAATTTCTTATAAATTTATTGAAATATATATAGTCAATTAGTAGTGTCTGTGTGTAAGTGTGTACGAGTTACGTGTGTTATCTACAGGATATCTAGGTCTACGTTTAGTCACTGGGTCATTACTCCTGTGAGCCGAGTTAACGATCTCTTGCATATAATTAGTCTCTGTGCAAGGTAATTAGTCTGTCATAAGTCGTGGAGTAAGTTTCGTTAGTATAGTTAGCCAGCCCTGTTAATACAGTAATGATAAGCTATTGTTAAGTGATTATAGTGTGAGTGTGTTCCGTGAACAAGGCCCAGTAGCGATTAATTCGCTCCTGGGGGACTCCCAATTTCAAGAGACGCACCTGTCCACGGTGTGTTCCCTCAAAATCGAACCGCCAATGGAAAATTAGGTTATCGATCACGCCATGCATCGACCGCTTTATTGGCTGATCGCTCTCGCTGGACATGCGCAATAGCTTTCTTTCCCAAGTCAACGAGGAAGAAGACGAACTATTATTACTATCTTTCGCATCCACGTTTCGTTACAAATAGTCGCCATTAATTTGGCTTTACTTTGTGTTAAAAATTTTTATGTTAAATATTTAACACTTTTTTGTGTTGATTTAACAGAATAAATGTTAAATATTATAACGGAAGTTTGCCTGACCTGGGGATTTACCAAGCCAGGCTCACCGTTTATTTATTATTTGGCTTACTTAAAAAAAAATTTATCATTAATAAAAGGGCGCCAGGAGAATGATCTCCAACTAATTACTGCTTCGACTTCGGCTAGCTATTACCTCTTCTTCAGGGCGGCGGGCCATGCTGAAATACTCGTCATTAAAAAAATGGATAGCAAAATAAACGAAAGGCTTAAAATTACTTGAAATAAATTCGGGAGAATTAAATAAAAAAAAATAACAATTTATTTAACAAAATATACGTCGGCGGTCGATATTAATTTTTAACAAAAATTAATAAAACGTCGTAAATTAAATGTACGTTTAATTGTAACAAAATTAAAATTAATAAACGTCGTTATCTCAACTTCAATTCTTACACTCGCAGTCATACATCAGCAATCACACTATGTAATAATAGTATCACAAAAAAAAATAACCGTAAAGCGTTGAATCCTCGCGTATTATTTTGTTAATTAAAATATGTTACAAAATCACAACGTGGACTCTAAACGCTGGATTCAACACTGAACAAGAACGTCGGCTTACCAAGAAATTGAGCGTCGTCCACATCTTAGCAGCTTGGAAAGCTTCGAGCGGTCGACTCAAATAAATCATGAATTTAGAAAATAAATACTCAATACAAATTACAATTAATTTCAAATTAACAACTCGCGACAATACTTCGAAATTAATTTTAGGTTGCGGAGCGCGCAAAAGCGCGTCCGTTTCCGTTGACAGTCCAGCCTCGAATCGTCTTCTTCATGGAGAAGTACCCACTTCTTCCTTCGTTAAAGTTGGCGGCGCTAGTCTTCATTTCCATTGGAATTGATCCCCGTCGATAGTTGATCTAGGTCCGTATAACAGTCAACGGACCTTCACGACAGTTTTTAGTCACCTCTGCTCCTGCAGTACTGACTAACCAACTGTCATCGATGTTGATCGTCGTATTGGAAAATAGCGGCACTGCAGCGTCGATCGGTATCCAGGCCTCTCGGGTGTTTACGCCGCTCGGTGCCTCGTCACTTCGGTACTCTTCGATACTAGCTTGTTTACGTCGTAGCTCCATCCTTGTCGCTCCAATGCATAGCCTCGTACCCACTGTGACTCGCTCTGTCTTCGTTACTCGTCCAGCGTTACGCATTTTACACAAAATAAATTAATAAAAATTAGTATAATTTTCATTCATTCACACATAACATTCACGACGTTGGATTCGAGCCTGGAATATTATGATACCCCAAGTATTGGACGTCGAATAAAAATTTACCACGTTACAGAGTAAGTGAGAAAGTATGTTGCACTCAGACCCAAGTAGAGGGACTCATACAACATTTTTAGACAAATTTAAGAGAGAGGGTAAGGGCCCGAGAAAATAGACAAATAATTGGACATTTGTTTCCCCCCAATGAGTGGAAATTAGTAACGCCCTAAAATTCGACACCTTGCAATTGTCACCAAAAAATCTCTCTCGTTGTCCTGACGTCCTAGTGTTAACATCGTACATAGTTTAAATAAGTCTCAATAGACCACGTGTTAATCTATTGTACAGAAAATAAAACATTTGTAAAGGTAAAGTAAAATCGTAAAGTGAAACCAACTAAAACAAATTAAATCAACAAGGTTCATCAAATTTTTTATCAGGTATATTTTAAATTATTAATATTTGTGAATTTGGTAATATTGTAAAATCGTTATATGAAAGAAAAGTTAACTTCAATCACTGTGTAATAATTGTAATTATTGTAATTTAACTTATGATATTAATTTTGGATTCAAACAATATATGTATTAAAATTATTCAACTACATCAATTTATTGAAACAAACCTATCGTTCTCAATAAATTAAAACTCGGAAGTTCCCGGTCTATTAGCCTAACACGCTAGGATCGAATACTTAAACACATTAAATATTTTAAATGTAAAATTAATTAATTACCCTAAATAAATATTTTTTATATAACAAGATTAACTGTCTGCCATGGAACAGTATTTTTTTGAGGCCTCGATTTTGCAACTCCTGGATAGTTAAAAAAAAATATTGTAACGTCTGATATACAGGGCCTAAAAAAAAAAATTATTGAAAATGTTGCATTTTTAGCCTTCCAAGTTCGTTTCTACCTTAATAATAAAGAAATACTTCTATAATAATATTCGTTAAAAAATCCCTTTTTGAATATTAAAAAATCTTTTTTAAGAACTAAGAAATTTGTCCATACGTTGCGTATGGAGAGAATGGACTAGAGATGCGAGACGTAGCTGCAGCTAGTTGAAAACTCTTCTTTTTGTATTTCAGAGTCCCGCCGCGCCAAGAGCAGCCTCGAACTAAGTCGATGTCAAGCTCTACCACTACCACTGCACCTCCAAAGGACCAGCCACCAAAACCCAAGAGCTTTTAAAGGGAGTTTAACGTACTTTCTTGTAAAATTCATTTCTATTCACGACCAAGCCTATTACAACAGATTTTTTTCTAAGCGTAGTGTTTATTTGATCCTACCTCCCAGTTCAATATACAAAATGAAACTTTTATGATAAAATAATGGCACATCATACCATAATTTTCTTGTATTATTGACTAGTTTGGCCATAGATGTTTGTGTTACTTTTTTAATTGATACTATTTATATTCGAGTAACATCACTTGGTCTTAAATTTATATTCAGTCAATGATCAGGTAGTGTAATTATACATTACACGTGCTTAGCACAATGGTTCAAAATCTCCTACTTCGAAAGCAGCGGGCATCTTAGACACCCTCTTGACTTTTAATCCCGCATGGAGAAATATATATGTCAAAAATATATGTCGCATATATAATATATATGCCGCATATATTTACGCAAAAAAAAATATGTCAACATATATTTTTCACATAGATGCTGACATATATGTATACATATATGGAGACATATATGTAAGCATACACAGAAAAAAAAATTTCCAAGTTTGAGAATTTTTTTACTCAAATCGAGAAAGTTAAATTTTTCAAAATTATTTCCTTGACTCAAGTTAAATTCTTTTCTGTGTATCTCTAGACACTTATATGCGAACATATATTTAGCGCAAAAAAAATATATGTGAAAATATATATTTGCATATATTTTTCGCATATATATTTTTCCATGTGGGAATGGCTTTTGAATAATCAATACTCGCCAAAGTAATTCTACCAACGTAAGGTTGGCACTGATAAAGCACACTGTGGCTTAAATATTGCACGCCTCGTAGCATGAAGTGTTTAAGGTAGTACTTTACTCTCAGTATCAATGGTCAAGGTCAACTTATTTCGTAGTCTAAAAATGCCCCTCGCAACCATTTTGCACTTATATAATGATATGATTAAACATATCAAGAAAATACTATCTAATATTTTTCTAAAAATCATTTTCTGTTGCTACTTCAAAAAAAATACTGTTTGAAAAAAATTCAACGTGGGCGTTCGGATGTTTGAATGTCATTTTTTGTGTGTAGACGCGAAAAAAAATAAAGTATCAAGACCGGTTTTTTTTTTTTTGAAAGATTTAGAATTACATTAACCGGTTTCGTATTTCAAGTCATTGGATAATCAAGGAAAGATCAACCATAATTAAATAGAAATTTAAATCGAGTGATATTTAGTATCTATATGGATGTAAATAAAAACTAGTTTTAGGTTAAAGTGCACATGGGCGCTCTGCGATCTGTTCAGTCGTGCGCACGTGCCATATTCTTTTCATCTTAGATGGAAATAGCACAAAATATTTAAATATAAAATTAAAGGACAATTAGCTGAATTGTCCATATAATTTAAATAAGTCAGTAATACGGCTTATTTTTTTTTGTGAGAGTTATATGAGCGTTATAAGGGGTGCACTTTTGACCTTTCAAAACTTCGAAAATTCATTAGGACTGATGAGAGAATGTCAAAACTATAAAATTGATAATTTACTGGATGACTTTACTATAATTATTGCAAATGCTAATTTTATTTCCTAATTAATATCAAACTGCACAAATATTTACTCGAAAACAGGTGAATAAAACAACAATTTATAATGAGATCTATAATTAATTTATACTAATTGAAAATAAAAATCACAAATACCGTGTCAACGAAACTACAATCTAGGTTTATAAAAATAACTAGGCTCCTTTAGAACAGAATTGCCGGTCGTCTGTGGCTTGCTAATGGTGGCATTTTTTATCATGTGGATTGCCTCTTCGATTTTTGCTTCAGCCGATTTGCACTTCCACCGATCATGTCTGCAAAGAGAAGAGAACAATAGTTGGTTAAGACGTTGAAATTTTCAAACGGTGACGACTTTTTAATGGAGAGAATTAGTGAGAGCAGTTTTTAATGTCAACAGAAACTAATGTTTTCTATTGTGCAGCTGGAGCGGGTTGTCTGCATGGCAGAGATAGTAACTTCCGGGACTTTTCGGGTAAAGACAGTGCAACCTTATAGGAGGAGCATCGACGTAATTGGCGAATATAAATTCATTTAACTACGCTAAAATTTAAGGCTTAACGGAAAATGTCTACAATAGAAACTAAATAGCTTTGATACTCACATTTTATTGCACTCACTAGACGTCAACGTGTTCGTCCGTTTTCTCATGCCGCTTATTCTGAAACTGAAAACGTCACCACTTATAACACTTATCCACTCAGACACTTATAAATCGATAAATCACTATTTACACTAACCGTCTAAATAAATCAGGCGCCGATGGAGATAAGCGTTGCGATCCGCCAACTTTATAGACGTACAGCCAGTGAAGCCTGAACTACCGATCTGAAACTATAAACGATCGTTTAAAGTGTCGTTCCAGGAGTAACGTTTCAGTCTGCGCCCCAATACAAACTAACTGAAAAACTTTGGCCTACATTTTATCAATACGATTAATATAATGAAGGCTTTGTTTCGTGAGTCATGTGAGAATGGGGTGACTCGTTGAAGCACAGTGACCTTTGTTTTGCTAAAGTGACTTGTTCGGCAATAAATTATAAACCAAAAACAGTAGCTCGTTGTGCTTTCAAGATCTCGTCGCAACAACAAACTTTTATGTTTTAATGAACGCGATACACTGACGTTCCAACCGGGCTCCTCTGTGGAGATAGAACCAATGACTTTGTACTAAGCATAGCGACGGGATAGTGACCTATCTGTTTATAAAAACCAAAATGGCTTTAATCGATCACTGACAATTAGTTCAAACACTTAACACGTGTTTAATGTTCTCGAAAAAAAAAAAGATGGTCTAGATACTTACTCTTATTTAAGCGTCCAGGTGCGAAATGACAGCGGCATTCCGCTGCACAGGGATATATATATATATATATATATATATATGCAGAACCAATACGAATTCTTGGTGTCGTGATTTTATTATCAAGACATTTAACGCTACACTAGGCTATAAATCACGATGTTCGTAGGCAAGTAAAGTATTTTTAACGTTCATTTTATGACTTTCGGTGAGCACATAATAATATAAAAGTTAGTTTTTTCAATCGGTTACATTGCACTTGGCACCCAATTTTATGGCAAACATCTGTAGATAAAATAAGCCCACGCAGATTAAATTTAATTGCTGGTTTTTTGACGCAAAATTGACTTGCGCTTAAAACAACTTTTCACGCATGTTCGGCATTAGGTTTTACAAACGCATACTTTAGAGCAATTAATTTCTAAATTTCGACTTCAGGTACCATACATGTTGATTCCTCTCAGATTTTCATACAATTTGTATGGGATTTCCTCATATCTCACTAGTAAAAGTTCTAAACTTGAAATTTAAGGGACTTTAAATGCTGTGCGATATTTTGTTTTACTGTAAATTTATTGCTTTTGTTGAAATAATTGTCTGAAAAAACTCTTGAAAAGTCTTTACAACTCTAAGTAAGACTTTTCGAAAGTCATAACATCCCTAAGTAAAGAAAATTCTTAATGAGTCTTCAAAACTCTGCAAGACTCTTCAAAAGTCAAATGTTCCCTGCAATTTGGAACTTTCTCGAAGAGTTCTCCAATCGGTATTTAATTTGGACTATCAAATATTTGAGTCAACTTTCTAGGTAGGAAATAATTTTTGAACCACACGCCATCTGTTAGGATTAGTTGATACTAAACATATTTAGTCCACGAATTTACAGTTCGAATCTTTGAGTGTTCTTGGTTTCTAATAGATGGCGTATGGCCATAAAATTGTTTCCTATCTAGAAACTTGACTTAAATATTTGATAGTCTAAATTAAACACTGATTGGATTTACTCTTTAAATAGAATCGGTTTCCAACAGCAAGTTTACTTCATTTGCTGTTGATTGACTTTTTTTAGAGAATTATGTCCACAAGGGTGAGCAAAAATATAAAAAGCTGTAAGTGAAAATATCCTGAGATTTTATTCAGTATTTTTGTTCGTCATTTAAAAAGCTATAAAATTTTAGCACACACACACACACACACACACACACACATTCGAATTGTCTAATGAAAAGACTGAATAAAATTTTAATAATTTCTTCTTAGCATTCTTTTATTATATAATTATTATTTATACTCTCCCGTGACAACTAATAGAAGCATAACTTATAAAAAAAAAATCAAGTGATAAACAATAACTCAATTTAAGCATGAAAAAGTTTATAGCTTATTAAATATTGAACAAAAATACTGAACAAAATCCAACCCATAAGCCTCAAGGTAAATTCCTTTCTTATCACCTACAAATCGCCATTTTGCAAACAACAGCTGCAGCAGCACCTCCAAAAAAGTCATTTTTCACAAAAACTAAGTCATAAGTGTACTTTACATCGTCGTTCACCAGAAACCTCATTCAAACCATTATGAGATTGGAGCTATTGATAGTTGTCGAGCAAACAGCAAGCTTATCTCGTTGGTAACGCGTTTTGTTCTACCCACACGTTATTAATAGCGTAACAAGATAATAAGACTTTTTTATCACTATATTTTTCCTTTAGCACAACAATACTTGTATAAGCTCCAAACTCATAGATAAAACAAGGACCCTAATAATATTATCAACAACAAGATGTTTTCGATTGCTTAATTTTCGTTTTCCTCATCAATATGTATGTAATTCGAATCAGTCGTCATTCTATCGATTGTGTGTGAATAGCTATATCACGTAGAGACACTGATAAGCAGTGAACATAAAGCACTAGCGTAAACATGAATGTTATGAACAATAAAATTTAATAGACTTATTATTGGGACTTTTTAGGAGCTCTTTAGATACTGACGGTCATGATGTCAACTTCATCCGGGAGCAAAATGCCTAATCAAAGTTTAATTGAAATTAACAAGATAAACAAAGTTGATTTATTTTATACTTCACTATCTTCCAAGCTTGTTTACAAATTTTTCATCGTTTCATTTAATCTCTTAGAATGTGAAGGTTACTACAAATAAGATTGCTTACACGCTGCCAGTGACTATTAACACGTAACTACTATCACCTAGTATTTATAGGTGATAGACAATAACATTGAGTCTCTCTATTGATTACGTTTTCAATTATTTATAGTTCCGATGATACTGTAATAAAAGTGTAACTGATCTTACTTAACAAATAACGAGCCCATAACCGATAACAAGACGGCGATAGTAAATATGTGACGTCAATCCAAAAAATAACGCGGAAAAGCTACGCAGTAAGGTTAGGTGAACGAACTCATCTATGCGGACGGTAGCTGAAGGTTAAGATTCGGTTGTTATGACACACCTGTGAAAACCAACAGCTGACCATTCTATTGTTTGTCATATGTTTATATTATTGCATGCGAACCAACGTCACATTTTTATTTCTAATGGAGAGAAATGGCCACGCGCTACTAACAACAACATCGTTAACTCAAGGGCATACCGTTTCAGACCCTCCCTGCCCATAACTCTGCAACAAAACCACGTACCTAATTAATTAGTTCAATAACATTGATATTGAGTAAGGCACCAGATTATGAATGAAATATAGACATATTTATTTCACAAAATAAGTCGTTAGATTGATAAGACTTAGGGTCCGGTTACGATAGCTAAAATGCGTGACGCAGAATAAACAATTATTTTCGATTATATAACCTGGGCAACCCAGAGCTCACTTGCCATTGCATAAACTATCTTCTGAATTGACGGTCGTAACTATTTTTGAAAATTGACATGACTATTGAAGTGTAAGTGAAATTTACATTGACTAGTTAGTGGTTTCCGGAATCTCTAAAAGACTTATTGCAGTGTTGTTACAGAATTGACGTCGAACCCGATGAGCAAAAAAGAGCCGGCTTCTGCTGTTTACCAAATTCGTCGCAGTGTCAAAGGACTACTCTAATCTTGATCATTGTCACTTTCATGTTTTTTTTTATCCTAGGCTGTGGATACATCAGTCTCCTTTTTGCGCATCACATCATCTCATATTTCCGTAATTTTGTTGTCGTTTCATCAAAATTAGTCAGTGATTTATCATAATGCAGTATAAACATTCTAATGTCAGTATCCATCATTCTATTTTGCTAACTGTCTTCTACTGAGTTCAATTTTGAAAGAAACCTAAAAACTACGTTTGTTTACCGCTTGCAAACAAAGCACAGACAAACATTGTATAATGGTATTGCCAAATACCTGAACCTACGTACAGAGTATATAACTTCTACAAGTGCGTCGAATCTCACCCTAAGTTCATTCAACACGGCAGTCTGTCCAGAATTTCGTGCCACACGTTCGTCTACTAGGTTCAATACAGTAAACAAATGGAAAATAACTACGCTACTATTACCCATGTAGAATTGAAACGTGATATTCTTATTCCTTTGGAATGGCCAATTCGAGGGATTGAACGTACCGTGCTTTATATAGCACAAAAGATGATAATGGAACCAGATGCTGAGAAGTGCTTTCTGGAGGTCCAGAACATTCCTGCAAAACTTCTACGACGTCCAACTCGAACTGGCTTTATCAATATTTTTCAAAAAGTGTCCCATGAGTAAGATATTATTCTTGACGATAGTCGTAATTGTTAATGATAATCAGGAAGAGAAAATAACTTTGTTTGTTTTTCATTTCAGAGAGATCGAAGACGCTTTCCGTTGTGACGTCGCATCGCCCAAGGATGACCGCTCTGTTAAGATAGACATTGCAAGCGGAAGCCAAAGCATCAGTAAATTGTCGGTAGCTGACGCTAAAAGGATGTCACCTAAAACTCAGACATCGTATGTTGGTGTAATACCTCCGGGCTATAAGTAAGTAATTATTTCACCATTGATCTCATATAAGACGTCAATCAAGCATCGACTGGTTAGTTTGCAACAATCTTTTCTACCTTCCGACCGGAAAGTGGCAACACTGCGATAAACGAAATTGCCACATTCCGGCTATGTCGGGCAGAAAAATAGTATACACACCTTGGCCAGTAAAAAGTAAAGCCTCAGACCACATGTTTGTCAACCTCGGCTTTGCCTCGGCCAACAATTACATGTGATCTGAGACTTTTCTTATTTTACTGGCCTAGGTCTGTAATATACTATTTAGCCATAGAATCTTCCTCCTGACCAATAAGTTACCCCCTCATCAACAAATGGAAGTTTTTGGTTCCTAACGACTTGTTCTTTGTTACAGATTAGCATCAGAAAAAGTCATCATTTTCCTCCTCGTCATCGCTATCATCTCTGGATCAATAGTGTCACTGTTTTCAATTTACTTGTCAATGACTTTTTCGAAATAAGTCATTGAACATATTGTGTAAACATTCTATTTTTATACCCTAAGATTATGAAATAAAACAAGTCGTTACTGTAGCAATATTGTTTATTTTCTATTTGGATCAAGTGATAAGAAAGTCACTTTACCACACAGGGGGTCGATCAAGATGATAACATTCAATTACTTAGGTTCTAACAAATATAACGTACCTTACTTTTGTATATCTTATTATAACGTAGCACTTTTACAGTAAACAAATAGTTAGTTTATTCTAATTATAGCTTGTTAAATTAGATCCGAATGATTGGCACACCCGCGCGTTAAATTTATACACTTTTTTAACGACTCTTATACACATTAGCATAATTGATCCTAACACTAAACTAATTACACTATTTACACAACAGTTCGACGAATTTATCTAGGCTGCGACGTTTCATCACCGATCAGGAAGCCTATTAAAACAGTTAGCTAACTCATTAATAATTTCAATAGCTTTTCAAATAATGAATTAAAATATTGATCAAATAGCTAGAGTAGAGGCAAAAAGGTGTTTAACTATTATTAACCGATCGCTTGCTGCTACCCAAGTTGAAAAAATTGACTCCAATGAACTTAACTGCTATACTAAAACAATTGATTTAAGCTCATATAAGTTCATTTTTTCGACTCGAGTATATCATAGAAAATAGATATTACGCATCATCCAGCACTCCAATATCAACACGTGATTAGGAGTTACATCTATCGTAACAAAAATTCCCAGAATTTTTTTATAAATAGTTTTCCTGTTTTCGTGTCTGCGCTAGTCACGGGTCAAAAAAACAATCATGTAATGGTCTGATGTTTGGCACATGGCCGGATAGTCCGAATAAACGGAGAAGAGCCGAAATCTGGTTTGCAGCTGTTTATCAATTATTTGATCTTTGGTAAACCTTTTTTTTCGTGAATAGACGACAAAGGCTTTATATAATCACCCAAGAACAGCAACGAACATCATTATTGTTCTGACAGCGAAGCAATCATGTTGTCTACCAAAGCAACCACCTTACTGCTGGTCGCCATCATTGGTGTCTCATGTAAGTTTATCTATTATTTATTCTCCTATAACATTAATAATTGATATTGTCGCTTTTTGTGCTCTCAATAGTACTATTCACCATAACTTAGTTTGCATTTGAAGTATGTACTGAGTTTTTACAAGACATTCCGTAGGACAAAATATTGTAACTTGTTTCACTTTACTCTACCTCCTTGATCGTGTCGTGAAATTATATTTATGATGTTATATTTTTTATTTCTAGTTGCCGATCCGTTGCAAGATAGAAGAAGTAATCCAAATAGTGAATCATGGTATGGTAATAATCCTGATTATCAACATTTGATTAATACTGCATCACAGTATGGACAAAACCCTGGTCATCAGAATTCAGTGGCTGATACACGGTGGGATGATAGACAAAGTTATCCTCAAAAACCGATTCCTAACGGATCACTGAACAATCAAAGTCCTGGTAATCAGAAGCCAGGGTTTCTCAAACCATCTCGTAAGATAAAACCGTTTGAGCTAACACCAGATTTAAAAATGGCGTATGAGAGCATTGATAGTCAACGCCCAGCGGGTTCTGGATCAAAGACCTACTTAGGATCTATAACTGTCCTGAAGGGCAATACTTACAACGTGGATCCAAATTCCACGAACATTTATGGATCAGTCACTCAAATTTCCGGTTCGTATCTATATCCTGTGGAACAAGAACGACTCGATCGCATAAACCAAAAATTTTTTAAAAGATCTTAGGCGATTCAGACCCTAAGTCATATCAGACAAGTGATAGAAGAACTGTCAACGTGCATGGAGCGGTAACCTATCAAGCAAACACAACATATCCATCTCAGCCACAACACTCGATCCAGCAATCAATTAGAAGTCGTCAAACTGCCAGCACTCAGCGTCCTGCTCAAGAATCTCCCGAAACGCAACAATTGAGATATCTGCAAACGAGAGTTGGCGATCTTACAAGCGAAGTCTGGAACCAAATCGCTGAACTAAGGTGCATACAAAGCTCTATAGACACAATTTTAGAATTGTAGGACAGAGCTCGAGCTCATCACTAATGAACAAATTTCTTTTTTCAATGCAATGTACTGAATGATAATTATTGTAGATACATTTTTACAACACATTAATATATAATTGTAATATTAAAAATATTTATTAATAAATTAAATGAACCTATTACTGCATTATTATTTTGTTTTTCAATCCCAGTAAGAACTTCTATGAATTTGACCAATCCAACTGTGAGTTACTTAAATACTGAAAGGGAAGATCGCTTCTTCTACCCCTGGTCTCAATCTAATGCTTCACTGCGCAATACGTAGAGCATGCGCAGATCGTGACAGCAAAGAGGAAGCGAGATAAATAGCTATTGCTATTTCTATGAACTAGCTATTTTAATGAGCTATAACTATCGATATTGGTGTTCTGTAGACTTCAATTTTTTCTGTTTAAATCGAAAAAACAATTTGTTTTTTTCAAGTTGTTTTATTGCTCATAATAACATTCTGGAAATTGATGAGAATATTCAAAGAACCTTAGATATTATTATAAAAACAAAAATAGATAAAATAAAGTAGTATCAATCGAGAAAAATGATGATTTTTTAAGAAAAATGAACTCTTTCCCGGCTCGGAGTATCGGTGAGTCTAGATGTGAGTCAAGTAGGGATAGATCCATAAAAAATTCGTTGTAAAACAGTATGAATGACAGTTTAGTTGTGGTAGTATAGACAAGTGCCTCCTTCTACCATTTTTCTGGCCCCCTCTTTAGAAAACAGACTATAGCTCTTTCATTTTAAGAAAAAGACTTACGATTCAAATTAAGAGTAGGGATTCAAGGTCGATCAGGAAAGGGTTACAAAAAAGCAGATGACTTGAAACATTTTTTTTTTTATATTTATTCAGAAACTAATTGTAAAAAACGGTTTTTTAAATGGTTGATTTGAGATAAAAATCATTAGATATCCTTTTTAAAATATTAATTATTGTTATGAGTCATAGGTCAATAGGTCAAACCTATAACTGATCGTATTTGATAACCTACATTATCTCCTGATAATGGAAGATTTATTAGAAATTTAAGAACCATCACTCCAAAACCAAATGCGTTATGTAGTGTGTTATTTTGACACACATCAAGTGTAAACTATCTTTTGACGGCATAAGCAAACTATAGGATTTTAACACACCATAAAACGTATAAAAAAAGACTAAAAAAAATATAGTTCGTTTACGACGTTAAATATAAAACACACTTCATGTGTGTTGAAACAATGCACTTAGGTTTTGCTGTGCAACTATTAAGAACAAAAAACCCTTATCATGCTCTTTATAGACATTTGAAGATGACGTCAGTGCGTCAGTATATACATGGAGAGAATTAAATGGTAAATACAACTATCCGAGCATTGTAAAAACAGGCTTCTTAGTATAAATGATTGCAAGAACTATCCAAATTGTTAACTGAACCATCCAGATAGTTACATTTACCATCTAGATAATAATTATTACCATCTGGCTGGTAACTTAAAGATCGTAAACTTAATCATAATATATGTTAACTGCTAAAATCATGTTGATTGTAAATTCTACAATCATGATGGTAATTATTACCATCGCAGCTAGTAATATGATTAGTCACTATGTGACTACCGTGACTTGTGAATTATAAATAAACAAAAATTTCGCCCCATTAAATAATGACTTTTGTTCAATTGCACTGTACTTTCATAATTATTGACGTTTTTGAAGATATAAGCTCATCCCAATGTTACACTCATCAAGAGTTTTTATTTGAGTATCCATACGTATTTTGATATATATATATATATATATATTATTTCATTTAACTTGAATTAATTATTAACATTTAATTACGATCTTATTTCATTTAACTTGAATTAATTATTAACATTTAATTACGATCTTATTTCATTTAACTTGAATTAATTATTAACATTTAATTACGATCTTATTTCATTTAACTTGAATTAATTATTAACATTTAATTACGATCTTATTTCATTTAACTTGAATTAATTATTAACATTTAATTACGATCTTATTTCATTTAACTTGAATTAATTATTAACATTTAATTACGATCTTATTTCATTTAACTTGAATTAATTATTAACATTTAATTACGATCTTATTTCATTTAACTTGAATTAATTATTAACATTTAATTACGATCTTATTTCATTTAACTTGAATTAATTATTAACATTTAATTACGATCTTATTTCATTTAACTTGAATTAATTATTAACATTTAATTACGATCTTATTTCATTTAACTTGAATTAATTATTAACATTTAATTACGATCTTATTTCATTTAACTTGAATTAATTATTAACATTTAATTACGATCTTATTTCATTTAACTTGAATTAATTATTAACATTTAATTACGATCTTATTTCATTTAACTTGAATTAATTATTAACATTTAATTACGATCTTATTTCATTTAACTTGAATTAATTATTAACATTTAATTACGATCTTATTTCATTTAACTTGAATTAATTATTAACATTTAATTACGATCTTATTTCATTTAACTTGAATTAATTATTAACATTTAATTACGATCTTATTTCATTTAACTTGAATTAATTATTAACATTTAATTACGATCTTATTTCATTTAACTTGAATTAATTATTAACATTTAATTACGATCTTATTTCATTTAACTTGAATTAATTATTAACATTTAATTACGATCTTATTTCATTTAACTTGAATTAATTATTAACATTTAATTACGATCTTATTTCATTTAACTTGAATTAATTATTAACATTTAATTACGATCTTATTTCATTTAACTTGAATTAATTATTAACATTTAATTACGATCTTATTTCATTTAACTTGAATTAATTATTAACATTTAATTACGATCTTATTTCATTTAACTTGAATTAATTATTAACATTTAATTACGATCTTATTTCATTTAACTTGAATTAATTATTAACATTTAATTACGATCTTATTTCATTTAACTTGAATTAATTATTAACATTTAATTACGATCTTATTTCATTTAACTTGAATTAATTATTAACATTTAATTACGATCTTATTTCATTTAACTTGAATTAATTATTAACATTTAATTACGATCTTATTTCATTTAACTTGAATTAATTATTAACATTTAATTACGATCTTATTTCATTTAACTTGAATTAATTATTAACATTTAATTACGATCTTATTTCATTTAACTTGAATTAATTATTAACATTTAATTACGATCTTATTTCATTTAACTTGAATTAATTATTAACATTTAATTACGATCTTATTTCATTTAACTTGAATTAATTATTAACATTTAATTACGATCTTATTTCATTTAACTTGAATTAATTATTAACATTTAATTACGATCTTATTTCATTTAACTTGAATTAATTATTAACATTTAATTACGATCTTATTTCATTTAACTTGAATTAATTATTAACATTTAATTACGATCTTATTTCATTTAACTTGAATTAATTATTAACATTTAATTACGATCTTATTTCATTTAACTTGAATTAATTATTAACATTTAATTACGATCTTATTTCATTTAACTTGAATTAATTATTAACATTTAATTACGATCTTATTTCATTTAACTTGAATTAATTATTAACATTTAATTACGATCTTATTTCATTTAACTTGAATTAATTATTAACATTTAATTACGATCTTATTTCATTTAACTTGAATTAATTATTAACATTTAATTACGATCTTATTTCATTTAACTTGAATTAATTATTAACATTTAATTACGATCTTATTTCATTTAACTTGAATTAATTATTAACATTTAATTACGATCTTATTTCATTTAACTTGAATTAATTATTAACATTTAATTACGATCTTATTTCATTTAACTTGAATTAATTATTAACATTTAATTACGATCTTATTTCATTTAACTTGAATTAATTATTAACATTTAATTACGATCTTATTTCATTTAACTTGAATTAATTATTAACATTTAATTACGATCTTATTTCATTTAACTTGAATTAATTATTAACATTTAATTACGATCTTATTTCATTTAACTTGAATTAATTATTAACATTTAATTACGATCTTATTTCATTTAACTTGAATTAATTATTAACATTTAATTACGATCTTATTTCATTTAACTTGAATTAATTATTAACATTTAATTACGATCTTATTTCATTTAACTTGAATTAATTATTAACATTTAATTACGATCTTATTTCATTTAACTTGAATTAATTATTAACATTTAATTACGATCTTATTTCATTTAACTTGAATTAATTATTAACATTTAATTACGATCTTATTTCATTTAACTTGAATTAATTATTAACATTTAATTACGATCTTATTTCATTTAACTTGAATTAATTATTAACATTTAATTACGATCTTATTTCATTTAACTTGAATTAATTATTAACATTTAATTACGATCTTATTTCATTTAACTTGAATTAATTATTAACATTTAATTACGATCTTATTTCATTTAACTTGAATTAATTATTAACATTTAATTACGATCTTATTTCATTTAACTTGAATTAATTATTAACATTTAATTACGATCTTATTTCATTTAACTTGAATTAATTATTAACATTTAATTACGATCTTATTTCATTTAACTTGAATTAATTATTAACATTTAATTACGATCTTATTTCATTTAACTTGAATTAATTATTAACATTTAATTACGATCTTATTTCATTTAACTTGAATTAATTATTAACATTTAATTACGATCTTATTTCATTTAACTTGAATTAATTATTAACATTTAATTACGATCTTATTTCATTTAACTTGAATTAATTATTAACATTTAATTACGATCTTATTTCATTTAACTTGAATTAATTATTAACATTTAATTACGATCTTATTTAATTTAACTTATAAATAATTAAATTCCAATTTCAAATCATTTGACTAATTTCTACACGAAATTATCAGACTCAATTGACTAACATTCTGTTATCAATTGAACATTATTAGCTCTCGCCTTGAGACAATTCGTCTAATTAATTGAACATTATTAGCTCTCGCCTTGAGACAATTCGTCTAATTAATTGAACATTATTAGCTCTCGCCTTGAGACAATTCGTCTAATTAATTGAACATTATTAGCTCTCGCCTTGAGACAATTCGTCTAATTAATTGAACATTATTAGCTCTCGCCTTGAGACAATTCGTCTAATTAATTGAACATTATTAGCTCTCGCCTTGAGACAATTCGTCTAATTAATTGAACATTATTAGCTCTCGCCTTGAGACAATTCGTCTAATTAATTGAACATTATTAGCTCTCGCCTTGAGACAATTCGTCTAATTAATTGAACATTATTAGCTCTCGCCTTGAGACAATTCGTCTAATTAATTGAACATTATTAGCTCTCGCCTTGAGACAATTCGTCTAATTAATTGAACATTATTAGCTCTCGCCTTGAGACAATTCGTCTAATTAATTGAACATTATTAGCTCTCGCCTTGAGACAATTCGTCTAATTAATTGAACATTATTAGCTCTCGCCTTGAGACAATTCGTCTAATTAATTGAACATTATTAGCTCTCGCCTTGAGACAATTCGTCTAATTAATTGAACATTATTAGCTCTCGCCTTGAGACAGTTCATCTAATTAATTAGATATTACTAGCTCCCGCCTTGGGACAGTACAAATTCAAATTATCGATAATTTTCTTTATACGGCGGCTGAGCTCACCCCTATTGCGTTATTGCAACGTAATTTATACACACACACTTACACACATACAACTTACTTGTATAATTTTCATCAAGGAGGTTTTTTCCCAGCCTAGCTGGGTTTTCCTCCTTTGGGGACAAATAAATTTTTCTAAATTGTTCCCCAAAAATTCCAAGTATTATTATTTAATTTCCTAATCCCAACTTTATCATATAATTTAAAAACAATCACGGGAATTATCCGCATTGGATAGTTTTCGACAAAACATTAGTGATGGTAATATAACCTTCGAATAGAACAAATAACAAATTCTGGAACAGAAAACGACTCTTTTGAGCTATATATTTCTTTTTTGAGCTTGCTAAAGCGAAAGACCCCACTGAGATACAAAAGAGACCAAACGACCAATCTAGATGAATAAACAAATCAACGTTGTACTCGTTTGTATGTTTGTATTTATATTTTCACAAACTATGAACCATACACGGCTTTTAAGTTCCATTATGAAGTCAACTTACGGTGTTTGCAAATGGATTCGCTTATCAAATGGTCGTTTCAAAACAATGTTATTTTATAAACTAATTACAGTACGATAAGCATGTTGGAATCGGTATTTACGGGTCAAAGAGTTATTTTCCTTATTATTCATCGCTTTATGTATTATAAACTAAAACATTTATCATGCAAGACGTGTCTTAAATTTATTGGAATGAAGTTTTTTTAATAATTAATAATTAATTCGGAACATAACTGTGAAAAAAGTGTAGTTAATGTAAACAATGACATCTCCAGTGAGGAAAAAGACATGTTTCAAGCGGATGTGGAACCAAATGGAGGATCTAAGCATAATAGACAGTGATAATGGCCTTAATTCTAAGAAAAAGCGAAGGGATACATATGAAAGTCCCAACGAAGAACCAAACAATAAAAATGATGAAGAAATGTCAGGCTACCAATCTAACTGTTCTGAAATCGTCACAGCTTCTCATCGTTCTCGTCGGAAGATATCTCTCAGCAAATGGGACAGAGTTGGATCTGCAGATTCTTTCTTCAAGCGCCGGTTGAATTTTTCTGGATATCCAATATCAAACAACTACAGTTCCTCGACCTCCAGTTTGTCGAGTTCCAGTTCCTCTAAGTACAGTTCGTGGAGTACCAGATCCGTCAAGTCAAAACCAGATGCAATGGAGACCGCGTCTACTCAGGAATCGTTGAATCAATAAATGGGATTGATGGAAATTGACGGCTAATTGGTTTTTTAGTGCTTAAAGGTAACCCCTTTCATAAATATGAATTGAAGTACGTTTTAATTTCTGTTATGAGATTCGCATGAGGTAACAATCTATTAAATGCATCGATATCAAGAGGTCAAATTCATTTATGAAATGATCGTACCATACATTGATACTTTTAATGTAAATTGTAATTACCTACTGATGTCAATCAAAGAGTAACTAAACTTGTTTTAGACGTGAAACACATCAGTAATATGTGTTTGAACATTTTTTAAAGTCAATGCTTGTAACCCAACACTATAACTTCCAAAAGGAAAAAAGAATAATTTTTCAATACAATTTATTACCAAAGTGCTATTTACAAAATATGTTACAAATAAAGTGTTATACTTCTACTTTTGCTGCGAGCCGTATCTTTGGACGTGAGTAAGGACGTATTCTTGAGGATGGGGTTTGCTTCTCTGGTCGCCGTAACGTTTCATCCATATGCGATTGTCATGATACTCCAGCTTGGCAGCTACATCGCCAATTTGGACAACAGCTCCTTCTACTTTCTTGTAGTCGCTCTAATGATTGGTGAGTCTGTTCTGCAGCACAGCGTCCATATTTGTCTTGGAATATTCTTTCCACTCTTTGGGCACGATACAAATCGACTTGTTGGTGTATTTATTATAGGGCGAAAACGCCGAATTTTTCGATGGTGCAAACGATGAAGAGGACGATGAAGAAGACATCTTGTTTTATCGCGACTTCTACTATGTCTTCATTTGCTCTGCATGGGATGCTCCGTAACGTAGCTTCTATACTTTGTCGCTGATAGTATCATGCTATTCTTAATAGTTATTTAATGGATATCTATTGACTTTTCGGCTAGGGTTGTGCCAAGAAAAAAAATCGGTACCAGTTATTGATTTACAAACTGGAAAAATTGGTAGTGTCTAAATGGTTAACAATAGATTGCATTGGTGTCACTGGAAGCTTTTGGAATGATTCAATAAATGAATTACTACTACAACATTTTCAGTGTAACCCCATTGATTAAAACTCAAAGAAAAACATGTGAAACAATTTTGAAGAACAATTTACAATTTCAACCGGGTTCAGTTATAAAAATTAGAAGTCTCTACTAATAAATATTGACAGCGACCATTCAAGATCTTGACTTCACGCAAAACGATTGTGATTGAGGTCAATTGTCTTGATGATTGATCGAACAATTCAATTGGTCTCGTGATGGAAGATCGTTTAAATTGTTCTAATAAGTCCTCTAGAATTCTAATAGGTCTTTGGCCTACTTGCTGTTCAAAAATACTTTAAAACAATACCCAGGAAAGCACAAAATACTAATTAGGGGCTTTATAATTTATGAATGTTTAACCGGTCATTATTGGTAGCGATTTATGAATTAAAAGAGTAATTTAATGAAGAACAACTTTAACATACGACGTAGATAAATCATGAGTAACTTTTTAAGTCTTAAGCTTTTTACTGTCTTTTTGGACAATTAAGCTATTAAAGCTTATTTATTGGTGTAATCTTACACTAAACATTTATCAACTGAGTCAATATCTAAATGAAGGAATCAACAAATCGATTAATCTTTACGGAGAGATTCTAAGATATCTTAATGGAAACTCTAGGCAGTCTATTGCAGACAGAATGAAACGATAAAGTAAAAAAGATATAATTTTATTTATTAAGTATAATTTTCTATTACTACAGCTTAATTCAGAATGTTGATAGCTCTTTCAAGATTCCGTGTTATTAAATTGTTAACTGTCTCAAGTTCAGCTTTCAAGAAAGCAATCTCACTCATAACTTCAGCATGATTCTTCTGCTGATTTAGAATGACTTCAGTATCTTTATTATCTGTGGTTCCAGGAACTGTTTTAATCTTCGAATCACTTGACGTGGGAGTATGACTGCATGACGCGCAAGGCACGTAATCTACGTTAGTAATTGACCCATAGTAGTTCATGGACGCGGGATCCACCGCATAAGTATTGCCTTTCTGAACAGTCACGGACCCATAAGAAATTTTTGGCCCAGTATTAGTTGGCTGACCATCTCCTTGACCATTCAATGGTGCAGTAGTCACCGGATACTGACGATTATCTTGCTGGATACTTGCTGGTACTTCGGTAGATGATAGACCCGGATGAGCACTTCCGTTAAGTCTTTTGGAATCGGCACCTTTAAAAGAGAACACCAATATAAGTAAAATAGTACAAAATTAGGAAGGTGAAGTTAAGTGAGACAAGTTACAGTTTCATCTCCTAAAAAATGTCTCTAGTAAAGACTTCTTAAATTCTTTAAATGCAAACTAAAATATGGTGGAGTAAAAAAACATTATTGAGAGCACAAAAAGCAACAAGATCAATTACTATTAATATTTTGTGATAATAAACAATAGGTTCTTACATGATACCCCAAGGATAGTGACAAGAAGGACTACTGCTGCTTTGGTGGATAACATGGTAGTTTCAGTGTTTCAACTCGAATGATGTACGTTGCTATCTGTTGTTCCTTTTATAGGATTGACTAATGACGTTGGCGAGGGGTCAACCATGTAGCGAAGGTTAAATGGTTGATCTGATTCCGTTTTTTCTTCGTGGAAAAGATAGTATATGAACGAACTTCTACTCTTTATCGAATTGTTTATATTAGGGAAACTATCTGATCACCATTTTAATTCGTTATTCAAAAAGCTATTGAAATTGTCAAGTAGTCAATTTTTGATTACAGACGACTTTTCGATGCAAGCAAATCATTTAAATAAAAAATTGATATTAATGTTGATAACGAAGATTATCCAAAAGTGAAGGATGTTTAGAGCTCAAGGAGACATATCCAAAAAAAGAGAAGATCAGATGATGCTGCAACTTTGGAAATGAAATAGACTGAAATTTATCGGATTATTAATAAAATTTAATAGCTTTTTAAGAAGTGAACAAAACTTCTGAACAGCTAATCATCTTAAGAGATGCAAGAGATATTAAAACAGATACGGAGTTATAGATTTTATCAAATCTAATGGTATAACTTTATTAGCACAATATGTGTGTTGAGGATGCGATCATCAGAAACCTACCCGCAAGCAATATCATTTATTTCAAGGTCATACTTGGGTCAACCAATATTCTTCTGCTTGTTATCGCTTGGATATTTATCAGTATGCGTACGTTTAATATGACGGGCATCCGGTTGCTTGACAACGTGATAAAGAGTTCAATTAAGCAAAACAATTTGTTAATAATTGCTTATTGCTAGTTGCAAACAGGATGTTTACAGATGAAGTTTGACGATGGGTAATACCCAAAGACATTAATGATTGTTAAACAATTCTGATTTATTAATTGTAGGTGTAGTAAGCTGACTACCCTGGTCGAAAAATTTAAACTGATTTTAAGCTAAATGATCTGCTTTTGAACTTATTGATCTGTATTTGAACTTTAAAAAATATTTTTATCGGTATTTCATCTTACTATTCAAATTATTTTTGATCTGTTTTAAGTCTAAATAACTTTTTAGTAAAATAATTGAGCAACTATGAATATTTTATGCTGTTTCTAATCTAATGAAACTAAAAAGTTTTAAAAGTTTGATCGGTTTTTAGTCTAGTTAATTTGTAGATGGACTTTATGTATTGTTTTCAAATTCAATATGAAATCTTATATTGTTTTTGATCTACAATTTTTACTCTAAATGTTCAAAGGCCAAAAGTCGACTAAGATGTGACATAATTTTTTGGACTTAAAAGTATCTCATTCAAAATTATAAGTCGCATTTATTTGAAAAAATAAATTAATTTATAATATATTCATGCGCTCTCTTGTTTTATGAACTGAACGTCGATTATAACCTTACATCTGTCATATTTATTTGTCATAGCTCAACATTTCATGGATTATAAAAGTTTTGTAACTGCGAATATTAGTTGCAGTGATAACTAATAAATTTGTATTAATATACGTTTATAAAATAGTTCTCATCATTTGATTATGGATCTAAATCTAGAGTTTTCTAATTATCATTAATAAACACAATGTGAATACATCGAAACAAGATTAAAATGTTGACAAGATTAATGTTAAATTTTATACTTTCACGCATCATTTAATGAGCGGTATTCACTATTTGGTATGTGCGAAGAATACCGTTTGGTATACATTGCACTACGAAATAGTGAATCGTCACTATTTCAGTTTCAGAGAATGAAAAGCCGTGCCCTGTAGAGGATCTTCGAGGACATGAATAAAATAATAATAAATAAATATATTATTATTATTAATATTATTATTATTATTAAATTCGTAAAAGGTCGGTTTTTGATCTACAGGCGATGAAAAACCGGCTAAAAATTATAGAACGTTTTGGTCTGTTTTTAACCTTGATGCGATCAAAACTAGCTAAATGATTGTGACAAAAAAAGTCTGATTTTAGTCTTGAAACAATAGAAAACAATTTTATTATAACATTAAAAATGATCTGAAATTGGTCTGAATTGTGAATAGTACGGGCAAAAACAGATTAAATTCTCATATAAAATAGATACACATAATAAAATTAAATTGAATGAAAAATATTAAAAAATTTTATTAATCATAAAACAGACTAAATTTTTTGACCCGGGTATCTATGTCGCTAAGAGGCCACTACGAAAGCACAAAAATGTTTTCTGCTAATTTTATATACACCAAAGTGCTGTTTTGGCTAACATATGCTTGACAAGAATAATTAGAAACAACTGTTCTAGCCAAGATGTTCCAACTGAATGCATTATTCAAAATCTATCCATCAAAACACTTCTGTAGTACATTTAGTAAACAAAAACTGGTACGGACCATTTCAATTTAGACTTTGTTCTCAAGCGATGTAGGTCTTTTATCACACATAGTAAAAATTGGCAATCCCGATATATCTAAAACCGTACTGAACTTTGAAGTTTTTAACTATTACCATCATTCATATCTTTGAAGTGAAATAAAAGAAAACTAAACATCCTTGCATTATGTTTTGACTGCTATGACTACTAAACTCTTAAATTTATGGTGTCTCAAACTCTTTAAGTAGTCAAATTTTAGGAAAACGTCATTCAAGTGCATAAAAAAATGCTAACATTTGACGATGTAGATATTTACGCTCCTAGGGAGGAAAGTAGAATATTCCAACCCACGTTTAAAATTGCCTCCCAGCCGAAATTTAAATTTTGTGCCATTGTTTTTGTGGGAAGATTAGTGCATGTGTCAAGCTGTTCATTTGTTGGGATATATTATTCCATAAGGTAAAAGTCGCTCTTTTTCCCGCGAAACAGGGCAGAAAGTTTAAACTTTCAGCGCAGATACGTTGAAAACTCATATTTATGTAGTAATACAAACCATAGTATAATATTTACCTTTCGAACAGATACTTACGACACGTCCAGCCGCTAATATTTAGGTATGGATAATAAGATACAGATCTTTAATCAAAAGACAATACTACCTTGTTTTTCAAGGAATTATCATTTCAATGTATACCCTTAAGGTTACTCCATAACTTTCGTGACAATAATACTATTATGTAAGTATAAAGATAACACAATAAAGTTACATTTAGGTAAACTTAGCAATTTAACTGCCACATTGAAATCTGAATTTGGTAAGACTTTTTTTAGTCTCCAATGTATCAGTAAATTTGCTTTCGTAGCCTCATGATTAGCTACTAAACGTAGCTTTTGATTTTTACACAATTAGGTTCTAAATCAATTAAGCTAATCGCTAGTCTGCAATCCTGTTCAGAATAATTACTGAGAAAATAAAGTGCCTAATACCATCAAGACCTGCTAATTATCGGCTCTACTTTAAAATACTCAGCAAAGCAATCAATATTTGTAGAGGAAATTGTCAAAAATAAACGATAGTTAGTGGATTATTTATTTACTTACAACATGTAGAAAATGATTAAAATACAAACTAAAACAACACTGAGTGGCTCAATGTTGATAAGCCAGTTTCAACCTTGAACTTAATTAGAGGCTTCAGAGACAGAAGTGATGTCTGTTCCTCCAGACGTTGAACTGTCACTTCTGTCCGACATCTTGAGATGCGCGAATATTGAAACCTTTTCCACCGTCTTCGTGTTAGAATCCTCCGCTTTATTTCCTGGATTTTCAGATTTAAAGACTTTCTGACGTAAAAAATGTTTGAGCGTGCTTGTAGAGCTAGTAGATGCTTGTGCAGAATCCTTAAATTCTGAGTCCTCAAGTTTTCGTTTACCGTCAGGTCGTTTCGTACTTTTACTTATGCTTTCTTTCTTCACAGTAATGCCGTCAATTTTCTTCCGAACTATCTTCTTAATTTCACTGAATTTATCTGCGACGCGATCCATGTTTCTATTAATCTTATTAAATAAAAGCGCAATGTGTGTACGTTATTCACGACGGGATACAGATTCGAAATAAAATATCAGACCGGCTTATGATTTGCTGGCACTATAAACCCCGATCTTCGCTCTTGATTTAGTTTCTTTAATCCGTGGGAGTTTTTTATCGTACTAAATATAGTATGAAAATAGTTTTGTGAAATTATACCGAGGTGTATATATCCTAAAAAATAATCTAAAAAACAGGTTATGATCGGTGTTAATACGGACAATCCAATCACCAAAGCTAATGTGATTGGCATTTAAGATCTTAACTCGTATTTATTTCTTGGACGCTATAAATGGTGTGCTCTGAGTTTTTTGAATAGTTCCATCTTTTACTAGAGCAGGGTCCAAGGTCTTTACATTGGACTTAGACGATTTCATCTCAGCGAGCTGTAGTTCATCTTTTTCAGCGCAAATATTCGACCATGTAGAGGAACGGGTCAATGAACTCTTGGACTGTGGTGGTTTGCAGGAGCTTGCAGCACTTTGGTTAGTGCTAGATGGTGTTTTGTGAGACATAGCTTTATCCATTTTTCTGGATATAGCGTTCAGGAGTCAAATAATCGATTTTCCTCGAAATCTGAAAAATTTCAATAGTTTACTTTTGATTAATATCCTACACGGAAAAAAGTGATGTAAAAATTGCATCAGGTGACACAAAAACTGTACCACTGGTGATGTGAACTGAAGTGACTCTTAAGTTACACCACATAGTGATGCAAAATCTGTATCTAATGCATTTTTAAATTGAACTTATTTGACTATTCCTATACTCTAACCTCGGATACAATAGACAGTAAGCATGCGTAGATAGGAATTTTTGACTAATTTTCAATCTACAAAGTTATAGGTTATATATTTCTTATAAATTTATTTTATTTTAAGAATAACTACGAAAAATATAAATGTAAACGATGTAGATATAACCTGTACTTCATTGAAAAGTACGTTGGTTTGAACATGCGTTGAAAAGTTATATAGTTCACACCGCAGTCATACAATTTTTGTATTACCCATAATTCAAAAATTGAACCACTCTTGAAATGTAATTTTAATACATCTTTTTCCGTGTACACTTAAAATGTTTAGAGATATTTTAAACTTATGTCATGTTCATACGATGGAATGCGATTTTATCAGGCATTTAATTTAGTATTGACAATTTACCTTTAGCTTGACGAAGTCCGTCACCGAAGACTTTACAATAGCACGACCAATTCAATACAATCCTAAGTCGCCTCTAAACTTTAAATTTATAGGTCTGTAGAAACGGAGACAATTCAATTCGCTAATAGAGCTAAGACGTAGTTTTACGACGTTACAAAGCAACGTCTCAAAACAACACTATTAGAGGAGTAATTAATGACTATAACATATCAATTTCATGATTCTAAATTCACCATAATACGTTTTTATTTTATAATAAAATATCCAAACAATACAATTTTATTTCTCAGTATTCACGGTATTATAATTTATTTTTATCGTTTTCACAAACCTAATAGAGACATCTGGTCAGTGATTAAGTATTTAGTTTGTAATATCGATTACTTAATCATTGACGTTTTCCTGCGACGTATGAGTCAGCCGAGACATATTTGGGTTACAAGGAAGTTATTGTATTAAGTATGCGCAGTAGCTAACCCTCTGACGTCTATTGGTAGTGATTAAATACTTATTATTTTAAATGAAGGTTTAATTGCGTGAAGAATAGATTTTTTTTTTTTTTTAGAAAGGCTAAAAAATTTTCTAAAAGACACCAACAAAGATGAAATGATTTTTCTATTCTTTAGGAGCATTATTCCTACACTCTCATACTTCAGCTCATAGGACAAAAACAATAATTTTACATAATCATTCAATATTTTATTCTACATTACAATCCATAAAAACTATACTTATTAGCATAACATAACTTTAACATATTTTTATAAAAAAATTACAACACTAAAATATCTATATACAATACGTAATCTCCGTATTGCAAGTATCCCGACCAATTAAACTTATTTTCTTACATAATAAACAACTTAAGACTATTTCACTGTTCCTTCTCTGAAGATGAAATATAGACGATGATCCCTTAGAGCGGTCTGTATAGGACTCTACGTGAAAGCACCATCCTTACTCGTGAAGCACACACTTTTCGAGATATAGTTGGAACACTCTGTTAAAAGAAAATTTTTCATTAGAAATACAATTACGGATTCTAACAAATGTTAACTAGTTATTTAACTTTATACAACTCACCATTAAACGTTTCATATTTTGCTTCGGTGCATTGCATGAGCGTTAGGGTCCATGTTGAGCAGCTCCCGTCTACTGAAAAAAATTTGTCATTGATTAAACTTAATTTGAATGCGTCAGATTGTTTCCATAAGGTTTATAATAGATAAATCATACATACGAACGGTGAGGAACGTAATAATACGATATCGTGTAATCTTCGGGGTAAGAACAGGTACGTCTTGACTTAGAGTCATCACAGGAGTTAGTCCCGCTGGAATATTTCATATAATCCTTATTTTGATATTCAGACAAAGCGATATCGTAAACATAACAACCATACACGTTTCTAAAATGAAAATAACTGTGTCAATACCTTAATTAAACAACGCAGGTACGGTGACTGACGTAACACTAACGAAAGTATCTTTACTTACTCCCGAGGTATTTTCTTGAAGACATGGTAGAAACGGTGCTTTCTGACGTATCGATACAGCCTGGCCGGGATACCATCCACTTGGAGAACTGGGTCCTCCTGAGTGTTCTGCATGATGACCTCTTTCGCCGTACTTAGCACGACGTCATAGACACGACTAACGGGCCATTCATATGGCACTAATATGTCCGGAGCTAATTCTACAAAAGCAATTTTCGCGTAGACTTCTTCCATTTTAGATTAATATTTATTTAAATTGAACCGCAATCACAATCGTTAAAGACGAGTGAATGGGCTGAATGCCAGAACAATATTGAATGATTTGAATTATTCTGTTAGTTTTATAGAGAAACCACGATCGTAAAATAGATAATAAAAACTTAACGAACGATACTCTTCGAAGAATAGGTTTATTATCATAACATGTTCGTAGTTTTGGCGACAATCATCTTCTGACTTCTAAAAGTCCTTGTCACTGACGAAGTTGTTCAATGTCGCAATGAAAATAATGGAAATGGAATAAAAAAAAAAATAATTAATGGACGTACGTTCTCTTCACAACAAGCGACGTCAACTGTGACATTATGTGTCATTTCAATGGCAAAAAGGTCACTTACTATGGTAGCGGGTACGTAAATCATAAGGTGACCGCGACACTTATCGCAATAAACTCACACATAAGTCTACTGAATACATATTTATACTTATTGTTCAACAGTTATTTGTCTGATGATACAGTTGTTCTAATTTAAACGGTACTTAAAACGCTATTTGTCGCAAATAAATTAATTTTGTTGTGCACCACATGGTAATGACCTGATAAACTTGGGCACAGAGGACGAACGATTCAATGAGGGCAATAATATTAGTGTTTGTTTATTGAAACAGATGTATATTTGACTTGTTTGTAGCATCTGTGTTTTATAAAAATTTTAACGATCGGTGAATTTAATGTAAACATCCATGCATGTCAACATAATCCGGCTTCGTAACCACTGGGGTCAATATAATTTCGTCTGAATGTCACCCCAAGTAGCTTGATATCTATTACACGTAATTTTATATTTTATGCATGCTACCTCTAATATCATAAAAAATAATATTTCTAATGACTGTATGTAACAAATTGATGTATTATCGGTCAATGTACAGACAAGCCAAGTGTTATTGACGAAATATTGCGCCGCTAGCCTAGACATCTACAAGATAAATCTTATCTCCAAGCCTCATAATCTCAAGAAGCGTCAATGAGAACAATGCAATAATTTAAAACATACCGGTTTTATTCGTCTAATTGAACCCTTTAATGTTCTGGAGTCGCAAAGAATCTCGGTGTGAGCTGTTAGGGGAGAGAGCCAATCATAGTCCGTTATACGGTTGTGTGAGAGACGGTTTAGTTGTAGTAGTGTGTCCATGTATCCCTTTCTACTATTTTTGTAGCCCTCTCTTTAGGAAAAAAACTATAGCTCTCTCACTTAAAGAAAAAGACTTATGACTCAAACTAAGAGTGGAAATTCAAGGCCGAAAATTAAAGGGTTAAAAATCTCACCTATCTCGTAATTAGACGTTACCAGTAAAAAATTGCTTTTCACTCAGCCCCATTAGTTCAGCAGTGAAGAGACGGTAGATGCACTGGCATGGGTCTATCGCTCTGACGGTAATTTTACACGTGGGTTGGAATGTTCTACTTTTCTCCCTAGGAGCGTAAATATCCATTACATTCATTTAAGTCAAACTAATGGCGGCAACATGTTTGTTTGCCATTTTAAATAAAAGCCTTGCACCTGGCTGGGTAAGGTAGATATTAGAGTGAATAACATTTTTTTATGAAAGAACATACAATACCAATATAATTATTTATTAACTTATTATTATAAAATATAATATAAATCAATTAAACTTAGATAAAGACCTTTGACACACAAAATAATAGTTTCACTTTTTTCGTGATGTATTTTCATCATCTTCGTGCTTGCGTTTGCCGCTGTACATCGATGTTGACGAAACAAATGCAGAATTGTTATTGGTGTTATACCTTGACGCCGATGGTCAGTTACATATCTCATATCTTCTCGTATTCACTTGGTTCTGCCAGCAGATAGGCTCGTAGTATCGGATAACGCTGACTCATTGACGCAGAATTCTGTAACAAAACAACGATAAGTATCGTCGATTTAACTATATCGTTCGACTGACTCACTAGTATCAACAAGTGATAAAACTACAATCGATAAGTAGATTAAAGTCACCTTCATCGTTCACTACCTTGGTAAGGGTGACATAGTTTTTGTAAATTTCAAAATATTTAGTACTTTAAATATCGAGGTGGACAAACATGTTCTACGCAGTTTTAATGGATTAAATTGCTAATTTTGATAATATAGAACAGCATGATTTATTTAGGCACAAAATAGTTCGCTGCTCGACGAATCACTGAAAACACTAGATGTTTCTATTGAGCATGTACGCGGAGGGTTAAGTGGAAACGTTGATTACCTGTAGGGATGTCAAAACATCTAAAGAGGCACTCTCCTCTCATCCCTCATCTTAAATAAGTAGAAAAACTACTTACTGTTTTCTGTCCGTACTTATTTTGTGATAAGTCCATCTCGATGGTTTCTTTTTCGGGAACTGTTGGACTGGAGAAAGTATCTGGAAGTAGATAAAGATATAATCAAATTCAAAGTTCCTGGATTAGTTACAAATAAATTCGGTTCAGATTGAAAAAGTTTGGATAGTTCGAAAGTGCACGCCTCATAACACTTATTTAATTATCAAGAAGAAAATAAATTGAATTATTACTTGATTCGTATTAAGTAGACAATGTAGCAGTGCGTTAATTATAAATTCAACTATTTCGCGCCATTTTCATGTGTTGCTTACGCTATTCTTTATTTACACATGTGTATAATAGATACAACAAAGACTATAGTCGACTATATCTATTTATCAATTATAATTAAACGACACTAAATTATACAGCCATTGGTAATAGGAAACTGCGTGGTGTAATTCTGAAGCTAAAAAAAATCGCGATATATCAAGTTTTGTGAGCGTAATGGGGTTTTTTACACTTAAAAATATATATGTCTTTTATAAATATACTAGAATTTTTAACGGCGCGCATTCGCGCGCCCCCTATCGAAATTCTCGAATGAATTTATCCTGTTTGATTTATATCGATATATTGATATGTTCACGTACCAGGAGATTGACCAATAGTAACTGAGGAGGGTTTATATTCTACCAACCCGGGGAATATCTCAAAGAACTCCATAGAAATCACGATTTTCATGATTTGGAAAATTATAAACAGCTGTCATTTCTAAACTAATCAACTGATTTTGCTATCGTAATTAGCCACCGAATAAGTACACTAAACTTTTTTTAAGATCGTTTAAGAATTTTAGGCGCTATCCTGATGACACTCCCGGGAAAAACGGATTAGATCTGGCCATATATAAACAGATCTGGCCAGATCTGCTAAGGCTATTAACTATAGTTATTACAAACTCTACCTACTCTCGTTTCAAGCAAGTCTCATTGGTAAACTGGTAAACAGGTAATGAATTAGTCTCTCAAGCGTCAGGTCTCAGGTTCGGTTCCCGTGCGCGCCGTTTTTTTTTTTTTTTTTTTATGAAAATAATTTTATATAATTGTATATAATTATATATGGCCATTTTTCGTATATAATTATGTATGAATATATATAATTATATATAATCATTTTTACCTGGGCAATTTTAAAATTTGACCAGATCTGGTCAGATCTGATTATATCTGGCCAGATCTCGTCAGATAGAGACAATTTAAAGATCTGGCCAGATCTAATCCGTTTTTCCCGGGAATAAGGAATCAGGTCCCATTTTTTCGACTATTGACTAACTTCAAACTGTCATGTATTTTTATTGTAGGGATAATTAGTTAAAACAAGTATTTTTTCTTGACATTCACATATTCACATCATTCTATAAGTGCAATATAAATAAAATAGAGAAAAACCGGCGACGTTAGTCAAGCGGTCAAAGGCGCACGGCCTATTGAGCACTCGATCTAACTCACCAGCTAGGCGTGGGTTCGAATCCCAAACTGGTCTTAGAAACCAGCTTCGACATTTATGTTTCAAAAAGGTGATAATAAAGTGCTACCTGTAACTGGATGTGCTTAGAGATAAAAATGAACATATTTATGTGGTAAAATCTCTTAGTCTTTGCATTTCGTTATACTATACTCTAAACTTAGTAAATTAAAGCTATAGTGAAGAGTGAAAAACAGGACAATAAAAATAAAAAATAAATTCAACTTACCAGTGAAAATATTCTTGATCTATTTTCTAGACGTCTTTCTGAACAAGTGCCAATACAACACTGGTGCAGTATCGCCATGTAGAGCAAATTTATAAATGAGAATCAGCGGTCAAACCGATCATTTGTCGCGATTACAGACGTGCAGCAAAGATACATAAACATGTAAGTTTAAAATTATTAATCGCTTCTGAGGCAAACAGTAAATTATTTTTCAGAAAAACATTTTTATTTTTCAGAGTTCGACAACTGACGTCACAGACATTGTTTCGCTTACTGTTTTTTCTGCCCTCCAGGCGAAAAGTGGTAATTTTCTGACCACTGTGCTAAACAAAAAATAGTATACACACTTTAGCCTCGGCTTCGCCTCAGCCAACAATTATATTCGATCTGATTCTTTTCTTATTTTACTGGCCTAAGTATACAATATACTATTTATTTACAGACTTGAGACAGTAAGTAAATAAATATCTCATTCTTCCAAAATATTTCTAATATTTAATAAGATTCACTTTGTTTGAAGCATACACGGAAAAAAAGACTGTCAAAATTACAGAAAAAACTGTAAAATTTACAGATTTACCGCTGTCAACCCAAAACTGTCAATTTTACAAAGTTAAAAATGTTATTTTCACATTGTGGAAACTGTCAATCTAAAACTGTTAATTTTACAGTTTTTCAATGTAATAATGACATTAAAAAAATGCGAAATTCACTTTAAAAAAAAAAGTGAAATTTATGTTAAAACAATAATTGAACTTGTTGTTTATGAGTAAGAATTTTACATCTCGTCAAATGTAAATAATAAACAAAAAAATATTTATTCTAAAAATTAAAGTTTTAACTGAAAAAATTAGATAAAAAAATTAGGTCACATGAAATCATTTTCAAATCTGCAAACCATAGAAATTAAAAAACATTAAGATACATATAACTATAATAATGATTATTAGACATCTATATTGTTAAGAGAATAAGCAAAATTCTTTGGCCAGTGAATTTATATGATAAAATGGGTTTTTATGATTAAATTTGGTATCGTTGGAAAAGTCTTGACCTGGAGTTGGGTCTTTTCATGGTTTCATTTCATTTTCACCAATAGTCAATTTATGATGATAAGCACTTAGCCTGCACTCGAAAATGCTCTATCTCTAGATAAATAATTAAGAAATGACCTTGTATCTTGTGAACTATTGACATATTTAAAGATATAAATTCATCACGATGTTACACTCATCGAGACCTTTCATTTGAGTACCCACATCAATTTTTCATATATTTATATATATTAGACAGGGCCAAAAAAATTGACTATTTTTTTTTTCTTAGCTATATCGAAAATATTATTCAGAATGAAAAAAAAAAAATTTCCTGAAAGTTTGGGCCATTAATATTAATTTTAAGAGGTCTATCATCGCTATTTTTGATTTTAATTTATAGTTTGATGTTTACGTCAGAACTGCGAAAAAATTGGAGCAAAAAAATTTATTTCCACTTATTCTTATGTAAAAATAAATTTCCTACAAAAAAGGTCTCATTGAAAATTTTTGTCAGACGAGAATTTCAAACACAATTATAATTTATCGGGTATTCCAAACGTGTAAAAAAATAATGTCACATTCAATTTAAGTCTACTGTTTATAAATCTTTCTTAGAAAAATGTTTTTAGCTACTGAGTGAATAAAAATAAATTCAAACAAAATTTGTTTTAAATTCGTTGCCTCAAAATTTTTGAAAGTTCATGCGTTGCTCTAAAACAAATCAACTAAGAATTTCATCCAAGTCTCAGAAAAATCGACAAGGATCGGGGTCATAAGTGGTTTGGCATGGAATGCCCCATAAATTATAATTGTGTTTGAAATGAATTTTACAACATCTATTTTTGTTATTATTAATTAAATAGCCACAATTAAATTTTCCTTCCATATGAATGTAAACAATATTAAAAATAAATAATTTTTAACAGTAAAACTCAATATTTGTTTGCTCAAAAATTACTTCAAGACAGTAAAATTATGTTATTGTTTAGAAATAATCTATTAAGCAAAAATAAATTTTTACGCGCAAACAATTAACATGTCAAAGTATAAATGTCTTGTTCCCTATGAGTGACACAATTACTACCAGTCGAGTATAATAGAAGTAATCTTGAAGAAAGAGATAACATGCGAACACATCTCTAAAAGTCACCGGAATTGGAATCAGAGTTAACATCAGCGTGACGGTACACCTGCACTATTGGCGTGAAGAAAGGTAAAGATAAAAAGTCTTGGCCGCATCCAAATTAATACTACGGTCTCTACATGCATTGTGACCGTAGTAACTGTAAACACTACCTATAAGCGTTCAATGCGAAGGTATAAATAAAATGTTTAATATAACTACATGTAGTGTGACAAGTATTGCGTGAGTTTTTGTTTGCTAATTCGGCCGCAGTCTACATTTTACTGTGCTATAAGTGACACAAAGCTCAAGTGTGCAGAGACAATTATCATAGAAATAATCCCTCATCAAGTTTTCTGCTGGATTCCTCGTGAATGGTTATCATTTTCGTGGGATGCGTTGCAAAAAGTGCTCAAAAAGAAAATTTCGAAATGTTACTTAGAGTGTGGAAGGGCTGAAGGTTCTGCAATTTGTATTAACGGTGTAACAGCGCGACTACAACTTCACAGTCAAATTCATTGGATAAAGAGAGAATTAGATGTGCAAACAAGACCAAATCTGAAGGATTACTTTGGGTTTCGCATACCTTGTGTCTGTTGTAAGAAACTGTAAGTTATTTTCTTGATTAGAAATTGTGAAAACAGAGTTGACGCTCTAAAGCTATTAACAAAGATAAGAGTAAATTGTATCGCTTTAAAATAAAGTTTCGACAATAACCAGTGTTTTGTTATTTCATTACCTATTTAGTAAATCAACTGTATAAAACACACATTGTATAAGCGACGCACATTTATAACTCACTTGCAGATTTAACCTTGATTTTGACCTACGGTAATAGCCTTGCGTCAGTCGGCAAGTGCGATAATATACTGACCTTGCGTAACTATATTCATCAAGCACTAATAACTCACCATATGAGCAAGAATCGCTGAATATTTTAAACAAATCCGTCACTGCAACCAAACTCTTCTGTAGTCGACCCACGGAGTCAGGTTCCAGTTCAGGAGGACAACTAGGATCAGGACATGTAGAGTACGACAAAGCATTATAGTAACTCGTTTCCACTTTGTCGTATGGAACGTTAGGTTTTTTTATGTGAAGCAGCTCATATAATCTAATATCGCTTGTGTCAGCGCTAGCCGGGTGGTACAATGGCGTACCTTTATGATCTGATGGTTGGACGTCTGATAAACACCTTCTATACCACTCACGGCGGACACTGAGGTAACTAAGATCATCAGGATTACGATCAAAACACTTTGAGTGGCTCATTTTGATAGATTCTACAGAACTCTTAGCACAATTTAACTTTACTGTAGACTTAATTTTAAAGCTCTAGCTGACAGAACGTTTATTTTTATCTTGAAGATAGTCACTCTCCTAATGCGTGTTGCGTTTAATAACGCCAGAAGACTAACTGGGATAACTAATCATTTTTCATCGAAAGTCTACGCAGTTGTGTATCAACTCAAAATCTTTTTTATAGGATAGGTCATCCTAACACGCCGGAAAAAATAGTTACTGCTTGGCACAGTCACCAGTATGTTGAAAATACCCAAGATTCTTTAGGTAGCACATAAACGTTCCACCTCGACATCATAATGGATTCTTTGCGAACACGAATCAGTACTATACTGTGATGACTCATGCGTGATGTAGTTTATTTAGATACGTCGTAAAAATATTCTGATATTGGGATCCTTAGGATAGGTGTGGCTTAGGCATTAGACCTTTAGTGTTCAAAAATGAACTACTTAAAGTAGGCAAAAGTAGGCAACACATGTACACATGTACACAAAATTAGCCTACCTTGAGTAGTTACACTTTGAACCACTAGTTGGCGTATCAAAGTTATAAGTTTACCAATTAGTTCAAGGGCTTTGCAATTTGTACTTTGACAGGAGTATTATAAAAAAAAATAAGAACGAAGGTACTATGAAGAAAGGAGTCAAAGAACGTTTACTTTCCAAACAGATTCAAGAATTTGGACCATAACTTACGAAAGATTGCAAGAGGATTCAAGCTGGCCATTTGTTCGAGGGAATCCAAGTCGATTTGCTTCCAAACTAGTAGCGTTTCTTCGTTCAGCAGTTTACTACTTTGGCGCTTGATGTAGAGCACTCCATCCTCGTATGTATCTGCAACAATTAAATTCCGCTATTAGCAAACGTGATAAAAAATGAACCACAATCTATTCATTCTAGTCAAACTTCTGTCTGAAGGGACTTACCGGCTTCACGATCGATGACCACATGGTAATCTTCCCACTCAGCTAACGGCAATTGGCAGTCGAAAATTCGGTCGAAGTTCTGCGCTAACTTCTCCTCAGGCGGGTACGGCACTGTGATATTGTTATTTTCGTTCTTTATCCAAAATGTTGGCACTACTTTGTACGGGCTCCGTCCTGAGTCTGTATTTTCTGTTAACTTGTCCACACAGAATTTCTTTGCAGCAATCATCGTTCAGGTTGATCCAGCATAAGAGAGCAAAGTTAAATGTTGATTAGCTTCATTTAACATGTCCATATATACAGCTGAACAAATCAATTAAGATTGTGATGTCAGGGGTCGACATGATGCAAAGTTCCACATATATTTTGCATCCGGTTGAATGGTGTCAGCCATGTTTACGTAGACCACCAAGTTTTTGATTTCTCAGAATAAGGTCTTGGCGTTATCTTAATTAATTATGTTTTTCAATTTGACGGATGTTATAAATATCCTGTGATAAGCCAGTATACATTGTTTTGAAAAGAATCTGATTTATCCAGTTGAATGTGATGAAAGTAGTGCGTTAATCCAGAAATCTTAACAGAAAAAGAGTTACTATTCAATTTGATCAATGATCTTATACAAATTCTATGCTGATCATCATGGAGGATAACAGGAAAGTTTACCGAATTTTGTATAAGGTTCGGTTCTATACTTTTACGCAAGAACTTGAGTCAAAATCAAACACAATAAGACAAGTATATATTATTAATTCATACCTTACAAAAAGATAATCCAATAAACCTTAAATATTCTTACTCATTATAAATATTCTTATTCATTACCCGGGGAAAACGGTTTAGATCTGACCAGATATAATTATATCTGGTCAGATCTAATTATATCTGGTCAGATCTATTTATATCTGATCAGACATGGGATTGGAGACATAATCAGATCTAGCTATATCTGATCAGATCTAAACAGATATAACTATATCTGAGTTGAAAAATTCATCAGACATGATCAGATCTAGTCATATCTGATCAGATATAAACAGATATAACTATATCTGGGTTGAAAAAAAAATCAGACATAAAAAGATTTTATTATATCTGGCCAGATATAACTATATTTGTTAACTATTAATAAATACTTATAAACTATTTTACTAAATATACTTTCCTCCCAAATAAATATTTATTGAATGTTAAGAAATATTTATTAGAATTTAATAAATTAAATAATTGTTTTCAAATAAATTAATTTGTTAATAGTTAATAAATCTTCCCATCAGCGTATATTGATAATTAATAATTTGCAATAAATTTGATAAAAAACTTTGTTTATTACGCATCGATCATGAACACGATCCACATTACTTGTACCCGGGAAAAATAGATTAGATCTGGCCATATATAAACAGATCTGGCCAAATCTGCTAAGGCTATTAACTATAGTTATTACAAACTCTACCTACCCTCATTTCAAGCAAGTCTCGTTGGTAAACAAGTAATGAATCAGTCTCTCAAGCGTCAGGTCCCAAGTTCGGTTCCCGTGCGCGCCGATTTTTTTTTTTTATGAAAATAATTCTATATAATTATATATGGCCATTTTTCATATATAATTATGTATGAGTATATATAATTATATATAATCATTTTTACCTGGGCAATTTTAAAATTTGACCAGATCTGGTCAGATCTGATTATATCTGGCCAGATCTCGTCAGATAGAGACAATTTAAAGATCTGGCCAGATCTGCCTTAGCAGATCTGGCCAGATCTAATCCGTTTTTCCCGGGTACCGCTTCGTTGCAGAACAGTCACTTGACACAAAGGAGCAGCGACATTCATATTCTTCTTACCATAATTGGTCTTATATAAATTTTATTGTCTAAATCTTATTACTAAATACAAATTTTATCTTATTAATCAAATTTCCAAATCAATTACTCTGTTAAAATTAATCTTATACCTATTCTATATTTTCATACTATTATAAATCTATTATCTATAAATAAATAAAATAAATGAATTCTCTACCAACAGTTTTTATTGTTGAGAACCTAAATATGACTCTTCTGGGATTATACTCTAGTGTCCATGATTGGCGACAAGATATAGCTCTCTATTTTAAGCAAATAATCAAATTAATATAAACTTAACTTGTCTGACAGTGACGTAGAATTCTGTGACTCATGTTTTATCTAGCGAAGGGCTAAGTGACATATCATCTTTATTTACGGTAATTTTGTCACATAAACAAACTTCGTTGGTAGTAATGTCAGAAATTCCCCAAACTACTTGATTGTTATCTTACACCCACTTTCCAAAATATGTTTTTCCAAATAGCGTTGATGTGAAATTAACTGACATTTATAAGCAGCTCCAGTTTTTACGATTTTGTCGAATAAATGTCACTTAAAGTCCTAAAGCAAGCGTCTTGGTAAACAATCTATATTTAATCCGTAACACCTCCAACTTGACAGTTTTATGACCATAAATCTTGAACTTTATTTGAGTTAACATCATGGATAATTCAATTTTGTTCTTCGAAACAAATAATAGTTTAATTTATATGCAACGTTAGATGTGTCTAGCCGGATTGGATGATTAAAAAGATGTAAAACGGTAGAATTATATGCGCAAATATTAAATATTACAATGCAAATATCGGCTATAAAAAACAAGTTTGATTTGTGCCAAAAATTCGAGTTAGTTTTTAATGAAGTTATATTAAAAGCTCCTAATTTTTGCTAAGCACTCATTCCAAACAGATCGTGATGTTATTATTTTATTACGATCTGTAATTCATGATACCTACTGCGAACAAGCAATAAAACTCCTTTTTAAGCTCTATTAAAGTCAAAACATTTATTATAATTGATAGATTTAGGACTCACAAATTGGTGAATTCAAAGTAATAAACAATTAATATATACCTAGTGGGCGATATAAACATTCGGCTCCATCATTTTGTATTGCAGGAAATGCTTCGTTGTCTTACACACTGCATCCATAGTCCAAGCAGTTTCTAATAAACAGATTACGACATAATAACTTACTCTACATGCGAAGGCATCAAGTAATATGATATCTTATTACTCTTCGTCGATACACTGACCACGTAATCTGGCCAGGATTTGTCACCAAGGCTATTTCCGCTGAGTCTTTTCCGTCGGATGCTCGCTTCGTCCTTCGGTAACACTATTTCGTAAGTATGCGCATCTATTGTCTCTCTGAATTAGAAAAGAAAATGGAAAAATTATATTGATTTGCAATACGTCATTATTTTTTACTATTAGCGTCTTATCAGGACTTACGTTCCAGAGACTTCCTCAAACATATGCATGTCATCACTTTTGTTCTTCTATGTAATTAATTTAGCAGATATGCCGTTTATTCGCAAAATAGAGAAGACATTCTGGTTTTCTTTAATGATTTTTCTTGCCAAAGCGATCACTAACATCTTTATGTTACTCAGAGGCCACCTCGACGGAACATAAACACCCTCTGTCAATTCTACGTAAATCAGTGATTTCTCCATAAGATACAAATTTTTTCTTCGCACTGATAAATTAATCAAAAAACTACGAACCGATCTGAGCTTTTACTAACGAATGGATCTGACAGAATTTTAGAAAGTTCGGAGACATTATCTGATTTTACAGATGCCTTTCCGTCAAAAATTAATTTACTGTTAGCAACTCCACCCACGCTTATTATATCAACATCGGAACGTGGATTTGAATTTTTTTTCTATTTAATAACACAATAATAAAGAGTTTTTAATTTATATTTACATTACGGGAATTTGCTATGTATCAAAGTCAGTACATGCTTTTAATAGCTTGCTCGTTTAATTTTTATCAATCCATTTGATAACTTTTTTCTTGATTTATATGCATAACAATATATTTCCTTCTTCCCGGAGGTCTGCCTATTTATGCAAATAGTTTGGTCGATTTGCAGAACGTGAGTAATATTTCAAATTGACTGTGTATCTATCATTACAACGTTTCCATTTTATGATCTGCAGAAACATCTGCGCGTGATGAATTTATAATGTTAGGCATGTTGCCTACTACCAAGTTATCCCTATAAATAGCTAAGTTGCCTATACTGAACATTATTTCATATCCGACATTCATTGATAACAAGCTCGTTCAAGTGTCCGCGTATCACGACGAAAAATGGCGAACCGGTATTTGTGTTACGTCCCAAAGGAGTGGAAGTCTCTTCCCGAGGATATCCTGAAGAGTACCATTAAAGATAAGGCTCTCAAACAATGGAAACATACTAAGTACCTGGAAGGGACCACCATCCGGCTGGAGAACGTTACTGCTAAATTAAACTACTACAGGTTAACACCGTGGATGCGGAAGGCAGACGATTCAAATGAATATCCTAGTACTAGTCAGTACTGCGGAATTGAGATGAAGTGCATTCTTTGCACCAAATCGTAAGTAGACAGTATTATTTTTTTACCTTGCTTTGGCTATGTTCAGTTATGAGCACTTAAAAATAGATATATGTACAAGTAATATGTTACGCTCAACCTAATTGAAAGCATCTGTTCAAATTGAATCCACACATTGATGACTTCTAAATTCTTATGGTTTTATGACGTCTACTGTTCTAATAATTGCTTTTGTTCCAGGACTGACGTTCGCTGATATAGGTATTTACGCTACTAGGAAGGAAAGTAGGACATTTCAAACCGCGTGTTAAATTGCCTTCTGAGACAAAGAAGAGGGTGGCAAACATGCTGATTGGCATATCCTACTTTTCTCGCTGGTGCGTGTAATATTTTTCATTATATTTGTAGCCAAAAGTTTTAATTTTGTGGGAAGGTTAGTGCAAATTTCAAGCTGTTGTGACATACGTAGTTCACAACTTGCTCCAAAATATTTTCGAAAATTTTGTATTTAGTACCTAAGAAACAATTAGTTTTACCTTTACTTTTAATTACCATCTACTATACTTTGGAAGTCTGTGTAAGAGAAATCTGGCCCATCTTTCCCATGATTTGATGACATTCATACGAATCACCGGGATCTCTTTGTATACAAAGATTATTATAATCAGAATTTAAAGACTTTGTTTTTCTAACTTTCAATTTGTAATATGATAAAGTCACCTTCACGTTTTCCGTTTAAAGTCGTAAAAATAAGACCTATAAGGCAGTAGTTCAAACTACGCATAGATTTATCCGGGTTTCGAAAAATCTAGAAACGCGATGATGCAAAATACCCTTGAGCTCTCCCTCAATTTTTGAATTAATTTTCCTTGAGTCCCATACAGACGCCGGTGTTGCTAAACCGCCCGAAAATCATTTGTCGGCAGTTCGATTTAGACCAGGATACCACTGGTTAGCTCCGCGTCAATCGGCTCCAGGCAAATAATTCTTTAGAAGCACCAAGTAATCCGTAATATACGATTTAGTGTCTTGCTCGTGGTTAGGCTGCACTTAGTAGCACTAACGTGGTAGATTCATCGGCTATTCGATATATGCCATAGTTTATATTCCGATTTCCTTTTGTTTTTATTAATATCCGCCGTTGAGCGTTGACTTCTCCCGCGTAAATCGCGAAGTGTACTATTTTCCGCCAAAGAGAGCGTTGATTTGTCCGCGTAAATCGCGACGATTATTTTCCGCCGAAGAGCGTTGACTAAATTTTAAGGATTTCTTTGCGAAAATTCGCGAAGCTTTATTTTAATAAACTTTTCCGCTAAAAAGCGTCGATTATATTTAAAATTCATTATCTAAATTACTTAACTTCTCCGGAATATCCGAGATACAGTGATTCAATAGTGAACAATACCCATAGAAGGTGAAAGTCCCATAAAACTTGGGCCACTCTCGAAAGAGCAGACTTCCAGGGTAAGCGAACAAAACATTTTACTTTACATTTTTATCTTTTATATCTAACCTTTATGTTCATTTTTATGACTATTTTTATTTAACATTTATATAATAACCCAAATTTGTAAACAATTTAACTGGTTTGTCTCAATAAAATTCAAATAACAGAATTATATTATTTTACTTTGAATCAAAATACGTAATTAAAAAAAAATAAGATCTCTATTACAAATAAGACTTGAGTCTAACAATAGAATAGGTTACCCGTGACCGAAGTCAGCAAGAATCCATCATCCTTACTCTCTCTAAGTTAACACTTAGAGATAACGTTCGAGCTTGTGTACCGCTCCACACTCCAATGCAATTTTTAATTAGCTCCCGAACGGACAAAGTGACAACGTTCGGATATTTGAGATTTCTATTTCATAGCCCTTACGCCCATCACTCACTCCGTTCGTGACACTGTTTATTTGTATAGGTTATTCCATAAAATAAGAGTCGCATTTCTTTTCCGCAAAACAGGACAGAAAGTTTAAATATTCAGTGCAGATATGATGAAAAATAGAGCATAGTTGTCTTAGCTTAAGATATAGTCATAGGGGTAGGTAACATAAGAGGGTAGGAAGTATACCTCAAGCTTCTAACTTAAAACGGGTAAATACTATGAACAAAACGAATAATATGTTGAAAAAATAGATGTGAGTTTTAATACAATAAACATAACGTTACTTAGAATTGATGTTTTATTTATTCATTTAATTATACAACAACACAAAATAATTAGATAGAAGTAAAACTAGTCACGAATACACGAATGGCATTCCTTAGCTAATTAATAACTCAGAGTCTGTTCTATTCTTAATTGTTTGCCAAGCGTCATTTTAACAACTTGAAACTATTTTCACATCTAAAGTTTATGAAATAATATTTGCGCATACTTTATCCATCTACATTAGAATACATGACATAATATTGTGCAAACAAAATTATATACACCGTCTTTACTTGGTCTATACGTCCAATATCAATAAAAGTTCTATCCATTCTCTTTCTTAAATTCCTTGAATAAATGAGCGTATGAGGTGTGCACTTTTGGATTTTTAAAAATGTTTTTGTCATTATCACAACACAATTTTTTATCATTAACCATCTCACATAACATAAGAACTAGGTCTAAAAGTTAGAGAAATCTTTTCTTTCCCTAACAGTCATTTTATCTCAGACCCTGGCCATTGATTAAGGAAGTTTTTTTGACGAAAGCGTGCGGCGCTTGGTAAGGCACAGCGACTCTCAGTGTTCGATGCGAAGATATTACTAGAACAAAAAATCTAGAGTCAAAGCAAAGAGAAGGATACGCAGGAAACTGAGAAAAAGCTAGCCCACTTCTAAAAGGCTGATTGAAAGCTCCGAGTCATTATGGGGTGGTCAGGCTGGCAATTATATCATCGGTTAGCCATCTACAGCCAAAAGTCCAATTTCCACAAGTTCCTACTCTTCGTCGTCCCAGTTGAACTCGTCTATAGTATTATACTTGAAGTTCTCATGTTGGTTCAGCATTTTTCCAGTTAGAACAGATATTACTACCGTATCACAGCACAACAATTACTGAATGCAAGGTCACGAAGTTTCTGATCATCTCCAATCACCAGACTGTATTTCCAGGCATGAAGTAATAATATTATGAACTGCCAATTACTGTTTCAATCAAGATAAACTGAAGAATCAATGAATGGCCTCTTGAGTCAGGCCAATCAATTGAAGGAACTATTTTGACATTTCTTTGGATGCGGTCAATGATCTATTGCGGTAACATCATATTTGGGTCAACTATTTCACTTATGTCAGTTACGGACAATCAATGTTACAAATTGTTAGAATTGAACGTATATTCACAGCATCAATTATTATTGTCCACAGGCTCCTTTGTAAATAGGTTACTATTGAAATTGACGTGTCTTATTTCCAGTTATCCTGCGAAATGCAATCAATTTCTGATCCTGTCCGATAAGACTTGTTTTCAACTCTGTACCTGATTCTTGCTTTTCCTGCAGTTTAGTAGCGATTTTTCTAGCTTCTTCCAACTTTTCTACAGTTCTGGACGGCTTAGTCGCTTCAGCATTGACAGAAACTTTCAAACTTTTCTCTTCACTTATATGGTTTTTAAGAGGCTTATTTCCACTCATGATTAAATCTTTAACAGGTGGTTAAACTCAGGGGACTGTATTACATATAACTGACTAAACTCATGGTTAGAATATTCAAAAAGCTAGTCTACAGCTCGTGTTATCACTGGTACGTCTAACACTATTCTGACGGTTTATATGTCCAAGCATGCTAACATAAATTATTACTAAGTATCTTTAATAGCCGCTAGTTTTATCGTACAAGGACGACTTATACATTTTATCGCTTAGATAACTCGAACGTGCTTATACGACCTAAAGACTTTTGAACTTAAGGTCTTCATATCAGACAAATTGTATACATGATATAGGTTGCTGCGTTTTGTGCCTAGAGATAATGAAACTAATATTAAACATTTAGCAGCTATTTATTAAATAAATGATATTAAATTAACACATTTTACTCTACTCTTATACAATGAGTAGCGGATATATAATAGAAGATACAAACTTTCCATAACTTGTAGTTAGCGCAAACCGAAATACATCCATCAACAAAATATTTAAATGAAGATTACTTCTTTTGATCCCGCAAAGATATGTAATTTCCAAGAATGTTGGTAGCTTCATCGAAGTTCGCATGCAACTGCGATAGAAGCTTGAGCTCCATATTCCGTTCATTTTGGTTTAGCGATTGGTACGATGGCGCTGGAGTAAGCCGAGGAGATGATGGTTGAGAAAGACTACTTTTGCTTGAAGAAGAAGACTCTGGCAGATTCAAAAACGATTTGGTTAACTTTTCAGAATGCTTGTCTTCCTTGTAAGACGAATTCTTCGTTGCTGAAGAATCTTTTTTTCCATATTTTGAATCAGCCTTCTGAGGGGTAGAACTGGAACTGGCTCCTGGAGTTTCTTCACCGCGGTACCTCTTTGTAGGACTGAGGCGTCGAATAAATCGTGAAACTGCATTTCCAGGGGCTTCCTTAGATTTCTCTGGTCGGCTACTAGATGCCTTGCGATCAGTCATTTTGTAGCTTTCACTCAGGAACTTTGGAACAACCAGGATCGGTTTCTCTTCTTTATTTGGTAACAGTGTATCTGTAAAAAGAAATTTTTTAGAAGGCTTTGATCTCCTGTGGTTTTCTTCGATTTGCCCTTAAATATAAATTGCGTTGATTGGCAAGAAAATTAAGAGCCTTACATCTTGGACGTCAGTCGTCTGCGGACTGATTGTTATCCTGACACTTGCAGCACGATATATACTCTCGAGATAACTGTGTTCAATTGATCAAAATGGTTATGAGTACAACTCGAAATTCCGTCGTATTATCGGTGAACCTTGCTTATAAGTGCGTGGACTATTTCAATAAAGCCTAGTATCGCAATTGTTTTCGTCGCGTCAATACGTACCTGACCGCAATATGTTAAATCATCATATTGCGTACGTTCCTATTGAGTGGAGCGTGTTATCGATTAAAACTCTTCGATTTGTCATCGAGTTAGAGATTTTAGCTAATTTTTACCGGAAAAACAAAATAGAGGGGACTGTGGTTTGCTTGGAAACTACCGTAGCAATGTTGGAGCGTCACCAGAATCATATTTGGCTGAAAAGGTATAATGACGCTAGAACTAGTCCTTATCATAATGACTACATTGCTATACTCATTTCTTGCATATTGCCAGGGCAGTAAGTGTCTTTTATTAATCTACGTCAATATTTCAACACCCAGATGTTATTTGTTTAAGACACTGACTTTTCTGCTCTTTCAGGAATGTGCCATGCTGCTTAAGGACCTAAACTTCGCAAAAGAATCTAGCAGTCTGATAACCCAGTGGAGCTATTTGAGTCAACAATGATATTAAGTTGACTCATCAACAAAAATAGCACGATACCAAATGGTACCTAATTTATCGATTGTTTTAAAAAGTCAGCTGATAATATATGTAAACAACTGGCACTTGCATCATTATCTTTAATTTTAATCACTTGTTTCGCTTCAACTCAAGAATCGGCAGCCGCATTTTGTGTTACATAGCGAAGCCACGCTACGGCTTGTGAGCTGCATAAATTATTGCCCTTGATCGCGTTCAACAAAAGCTGCTGGAGATTTGATAACGTTTATTTTAAGATGTCCTGCAACTGTCTTAAAAAACTGTGAGTACCACTTGCAAGCCATGGTTATGCTGTAAAGCCTAAGGATCTTGCACTTATCATGAATTGTTTATTGTTTCAGCAAGGTATCCCATCCACAAGTCTTCATGGTCCCTCGCGAGTGGCTACAGAATGGAAAGTTGGAGTGCATCCTGTACAGCAAAATGAAGTTTCATTACCGTAAATATGGAAAATGTGAAGGCCTTGTAATCACACTCATAGAAGTAAAGGCTTCCTTCGAACGTTACTCTAACTACCTGTGGGCCCGAAAGGATTCTGATTGGGCAACAAAACCGGAAAAAAAATCCTACCTTGCTGTCTTTGTTCCTTGTATCTACTGTTCCGAGCTCTAATTCTAACGTAAACGAGTAAAATATCCAAACCAATATCAATAGCAATCATTCATAAAATCGGCAATTTAAAAACAATTGTTATCAAGTGCGACACCTCTTGACGACTTTTTTCATTCGTCCGTATGATGTTCTCGTATCTTCAATTGTTAAACCTGAGTGGTTTGGACTTTTTATACAACATCGGTCCTCGCTTCTAGCATAGAGGTAAATTGTTAATCTGAAACTTATGTCACTCGCTTATAAAGTTAGACTTACTATTTATGGTTAAGGAAATAATGTTATTTCTTTGTTAAGTTAATTTTCAAAAGATATTTCTTTCTTTGGTCGCTTGTCTTAATTATAACAAAATCTAATCAAAATTTTCCTTTGTTGGTAATAACAATTAAGTATTTTTTAATCAATATTAAACTAAATTAAACTATTTGTATTGTTAAATAAATATTTTCAAATTTCATGAAATAGAATTTACTTATTTAAATGATACGCATCGACATAAATCAGTTATCACTTTCTTACAATTTGCCTAATACATTTCATCGAACCTTGACAGAGACAACGCTTTTATTAACTCAACACATTATTTTACGACTCTCAATATACACTAATAGTTAAAACGTATCAAAACAACATTTAAAACACATCTTTATTGCCTAAAATGTCAGTCAGTGATGTACCACATGATCTAAAGCGCGTAATTGTTTTCATTCGGAAACATTAAACTTGGTAATGGCACTTGACACGCTAAAACATTATTGGCCGTAAATACGCAGTAGAAGCGCGCGTTTATTAACCCTGTGTACGTCGGACGACATATATATCATCGGCAAACAATAAGCTAATTGTTTTGGAGCTCTGACCTAAATTTGATGAATCATTTGATTAGAACTATCTGACGCTGGATTAAAACGATTCGATTCACGTTATGAGATTGACAGGAAGATGCTTTCTACTTACTATGACAACAGGGCAGACCACAGATTTGAAGATCACTTTTTCTCTGACTAACCAGCAGCATCAATGCTGTCCCTCCGTAATAACTTGACCCTTCAATCTCCGATGCAACTAGAATTCGTGACCACCGATGGCGAGCTTGTAGGTGCTCAAAATCACTAGAAGCCTCCAGGTCACCCGGATAACCAGTTTCCAGATCGCTACTTACGTCAGATTCTCTCGTTAACTTTAATCCAACACATTTTAACTGGCTGAAGAACTGGTTTATTTTCATTGCGATCATCATCGTATATTTCGTTAAACGATAAGATGTACACGTGTGTCACCTGAACAGGTCACTTAGTCGACTAACAGCTCCAAAAACCCTCTTGAAAATAATCTGTTTGTTTGGTCTAGTTGAAGGTCGGATCGATATTCAGTTCATGGAAACTTAGGAACACAATACAATCCGTTTGCATAGAAACAAAGCTCTTAGGCTGTCTACGAATACCTACAAACCATGAGCTATTCCTAACCTTTCAGAATTGAATAAATTTTGAATATAATGAGCTAGGATTTCAGCTTAGCTATCGATCATTTTCAACATAGGTGTTATTGTTTCTATTGACGTCAAAACTCAGCTACTAATAATGATTCTCATTCATATATGTTACAGCAAGATCACTAGGCTAGCTAAAATGTTTAACAAACCGAGCTTTTGATCTGCCGAGCGTTGATTATTTCTCTTAACATAAAAAATGAATGATTCTTGAGAAATGGGATTTTCTAATTCTGACTTATTTTAACAAATTTCAATGACCTCACTAGCCTTTTTACGCCTTAGAATGTAACATCTATATGAATTAAAAGTCAATTGGGAAATTTTGTATGACGCAAATGTGAATTTTTATTGAGTATGTATAAAATTGTAGTATGTATAAAAAATGAATATATTGTAGTATGTATAAAAAGACCACTTTACCTTGTTGCACCAATGCTACGCCAAGAGACGTCGATAAAGTATAAGAGTGTTCAAAACATTTAAACTTACCAGTCATTTTGTATGTAAAACCGTTCTGTGTAGTCAAGGAACATCAATTCTTCTGGAATAAATTCATTCCTTCTAGTCTTGATGAATATCAACCCATCGAGATAGGAATCTGCACAGAAAATAAAGCCTATTGGTCTACTTCACAAAGGCGGCTGTTTATTTATACCTCCATAAAATAATCACTTACTTGTTAGATATTCTAAACTACCACTGCACTCTATCCATCTTGACTTAGGTTCGTTGCACTTTAAAATGTTTTCAAATTCCTTAAACACATCGTCCTTTGATGGATATTGGGCTAAAACCTTATTTTTATCTGTGTCCTTTACCCATTTAAATGGCACGACTTTATACGGATTAGTCCCATATGTCGAAATCACATCGAACTTAACAATAGCAAACTTTTTTAACGCATCATTGATCATCTCTGAAAGTTGAGATAAGACTGACGCGAAAAGCTTGTAACGGAGTGATCGTTACCCGTTAAAAGCTCTTTTATCCGCACCCATTATGTTATCGACGGATCACAGAGCGCTGTGATCTGAAGCTCTCGTAGTCATAGTTTGACACTTGTGAGTGAGTCCCCAAGGTGGAGGTGTCGGCAGTGAGAGTGGGGAGAGCAGAGGAAGAAAGAAACGCACCGACAAAATTCGGAAGGTTCATTGTGACCGAACAGTCCAGTCGAATAGACACGCAAAATTTACTTAAGATCTGTCCCAGGTAATTATTTTATTTCTCTCGACTTTGTGGAACGAAGCGATAAAAACTTATTAATTAGTGCTTGCTAGGCCGTTCTGCCAGCTTGCATTAGTTAATTTTAGTTTGTAATAAATATTAATGCCGATTTGCTGTTACAGGAGAATAATTGCTGGGGAGTACGTGACGCGACGCGCTGACCAGGTCTTTGCCGCCAATTCAAGTAGCTCACCGAGGAGATCTTTGTACCAGCATCGAGACGAGGAGCTCGCAGTTCATCAGAGGAGTGCCCAATTAAAATTATTATAAAAACTCCAGGTACAAATAAAATGTCTCAATAATCTCTCGGTGGTGCGGCATCAACCAGGCATTCAAGTCGGCTGAAGGTTACCGCCATTTCGCGTTCGGTCACAATCATTAGTTTAAGAATTACGTCGGAACAGACGTGAAGGAGTTGCTGCTCTTCGAGGGAGTTCACAATTAAAATTATTATAAAAACTCCAGGTACAAATAAAATGTCTCAATAATCTCTCGGTGGTGCGGCATCAGCCAGGCATTGAAGTCGGCTGAAGGTCACCGCCATTTCGCGTTCGGTCACAATCATTAGTTTAAGTATTGCGTCGTAGAATTTACTTAATTATTATACGGAAATTTATTTATTAGAATTTACTCGGAATATTATTTAAAATATTTTTTGAAATATTATTTAGAAAAGGTTGAGAATTTATTGAAAATAAGATGCAGAGTTTATTTAAGAATTTAATTAAGAGAAAAATCCAGAATAAAAATTAGACTAAAGTTAAAAGCAAGTCAAGAATAATTACTAAATAATTAATTAACAAAACCAGGAATTATTTCGGATTGTTAATTTACTACGTAGGCAGAGCTTGGATTGACTTTACCAGGAATAATTTCGGTTAGTCAATTTATGACTTTGGTGCCATGTAAAACAAATTGTCGTTGATAATCGAGTTCGGTCGGATTTATTTAATTAATTGCATAAAGTAAATTCATTAAAATATTTTAGAGGAGTCTTAGTAAAATCATTTGAAGTAAAATTTATTAAATTCGGAAAAATAATTTATAATAAAAATTTAATTGTTTAAATAAAATCATTTGCAATAAATTTAGAATCAGTCAAAATTGCAAGAAAATTGTTCATGTAAATTTATTAATTAAAAGTCGAAAACGAAACTTGTAAAATTTCGTTGAGAAAAAAAATTACCAAAAATGTGCGACAAAGACGCCAGACCGAGCGAGAGCGTCAGCCATCTTGTCCCGCGCGAAGCGCTGAGTAGAGGACATTCAAAGTCGAGACTAAAATCGTACTGTGTTGCTAGGCAGAATATAATCCTCAAATAAAATAAATGCTAAGTTTTTCATGCAACACAATAGAACGTAAAATAAAATAACGTAGAGAAAATAAAACTCGATTATTGAAGGACAAGCCAAACAGTTTAGTAAAAATAAATTACATGAAATGAATTGATAAAATTTTAGTCATTGAAAGTTAAAATCTTAATTAAATAAATTAAAATAATCTGGAGAAATAAACTGATAAATTCGGGTAAAATAAATTAGACAAAGCCAAGTAATTTAACACAACATCTTATAAAAATAAGTTAAGTAAATTCAGTACATTAACTTTGTAACTCTCGGAAGTAACCAACACGTTGTTGGCAGATTATTAAGACCTCTGTCAATAGATTTTAACCTATTAATACAAGATACAAAGACCTCTTGATATTAAATATTTAATTGTTGTATTATTAAGACCACGACATTAAATTAGTTAGTGATTTTAATTTAAAATTAAGATTAGGAATTTTAGAAATAAATTAGGAACTCGGGTTTTGTAATTTGTTGAAGGAATAAATGGATCCAGGCATTAAGTCGGATTTCATTTGAATTTGGGAAATAAATTTGTAAAATCCGGAGTGATAATTAGTGGGTTTGGAAATAATAATGTGGGTGGGTTTTAGTGTCAAGTATTGTAGTGTTGCCTAGGGATTCATGGTATCCTCCTCTGCTTCCTGGGCACACTTAGAGTCCTTTGCATAGACGCCCGGGTCGGGGGTGCAATAGGCATAAGTATTTTAAATAAATATTGTGGGTGTAAATGGATAAATAATATTGCAGTGTAGCCTAGGGATTCATGGTATCCTCCTCTGCTTCCTGGGCACACTTAGAAGCCGTTGTATAGACGCCGGATTTGGGGTACAACGGTAGTAAGCTAGAAACCGCGGTATAGACGCTCCATATGAGGGTACTGTTCGGGAATAGACACTATGATAGGAACCGCGATAGGACGCTCCATAAGAGGATATCGTCGGGAGTAAGTGATTTGATATTTTGTAAGGGGTTTTTATTGTGTATTAAGGGTTGGTTAAATAAAATGAGTTGTAAAAATGAATTTCTGATTATAATTTCTGTATCCTTCCTGACAATCTCTCCGACCCTGAGTCTTCACTCCTTGTTCTGGGCCAGTTTCTGGATACTGTGGTACTACATCATCGATCAAAAGCTATCCAAAGCTATAAATATCAACAATATTTATTTTTGCAAAGTTGAAACGATGTAAAATAATTCACATAAAGTCACACTTCTTTTGATTGACTGCCGCTTAATAGACACGATTATGAGCTATTTTAATCATCGCGGCAGACAGTGTGGCGCCGAGTTGTTCCGAGTGCGATAAAATATTATACTAACGACCGGACGTGTGGTATAGTATCGTAGCTACTGATTATGATAGTAAGAAAAATTGTTCAAATTTTAATAGTCACTTGCCTAATTTTCACGTGTAAATTAAACTTAATTCTATTTATGTGACACAACTGTTTAGAGCACATGTTTTTGGTGACCAATTCGATAAGGTAGCTTATGTTTAGCATAAATATAGTTTATGTTAACTTGATACATGTTTTTCAGAGGGGAAATAGGTTTTAATTTTTTTCAAAACTTTCCTTTGAAATTTTTTTTAACGAAAAAAATAAAATGTAAATCGGCGGCCCGCGATCATTACGTGACCTACAAAGGGTTAAAGTATTTTTTTTATAAAACAAAAAAAAAAATATGAGAAAATAAAAATTTCAAGATACGTTCTTAAATATACATATGAAATGACCGTAAAATATTAACAAACAATAATAATTCTTTATATGTTAAAAAAATTAGTGAAATTCCTTTGAAAACGTCTTACACCTATTTCCTCCCTTACGAACGTGTTGGAAGATTTGTTTATTAAAAGAACTCATCTATTAGCACAGATGAAAATAACATATTACTATAAAGATATGAGAATAGAATTTTCATAGTCATAAAGTTGTTATCATCTTAACACAATCTTGGGATTCTGTTAAAAACACTTTCAATATCGCGCTGAAATTGCACCACGATGTATTTTTTCGCCTGATAATATAGACCGTGTTTCTATAGTGATTTGCTATTGGGTGGTATAGAAAGTAATGAACCTGCTCCGAACTTCGAAAGTTTAGGTATTCATCCTTCTCTAAAAGCAAAAAGTATGTTAACTATTGCAATTATATATCTACCTACTCTCAGCGTCTGTTGTGTTTATTAAATATTCTTCCATCTAAGCAAACAATGTGCCAAAGCTTTTTCCCTTTTCTAAGAAGTTGGTAAACTACAAGTCCGTGGATGGAGGCTTATATTTCTAGTTCATGTCACGAATCGATCACAAACTCAACCGAACCATCACGTTTGTAGCTAATGATCAAATCTTTCTTATAGCTTGTTGTAAAACCTGAACTTAGCAGTGATGACATTTAACTTATAGCTCAAAAAATTCAAACAATGGAAATGCATAATTACGTTAATTACTATTTGTGTTCGGTTAATCACTCAGGCTGATAACCCGCTTGTCGTCACTATGTAATAGTGTTTACATAACCCGCTAATTTATATACTCCAATTTATTTGATTTCTTCATTTCTGTAAGTGACACCTTTGAGACACAGTGTTTCTTATTGATCGGAAAAATGATGGTTAATGGTAGATACCATTACATTTGTATAGTTCCACAGGAATGGGACATTTAGGCAAAGGATGATTTAGAGCTCTATATTTATAAATGTATGAGAAATCATTTCAATAAACACGGTGAAGTAAAAGGTGCAGAGATCACCATCGGAGAGACGACGACCAAGACGGATTACTGGAACTTGAAGCTTTGGCTGAAAAGAACCTCTGATATGACTTATCCAGATTCAAAAGGTTACTTTTGGATGCTTTTGGATTGGCGATCTCGTCCTGACCCGGTGAGTTAACGCAGCCTTCAACTGCTTCTAAATAACCTCTTCATCGAATAACCATGAAGTCATATCGTGTTATATAAATGTAAATTATTTAGTAGCATATTTAGCGATAAAAAACTGTACTTACTTACTCTTGCATTAGGTTTTGCCAAGTTTGTCCATGATGTACTATAAGTACTTGTGTTATTTGTAAAAAGAATGCCGCAGCTAAGTCATACTCGAGGCTTATAGTGCTCGAGGCTGTGCTTAAATAGTGAAAAATGTACAGATGCTTTAACAATGCAACGATTCAGCTCGAAGCAGTGACTGCCAACTTGCATTGCTATTATTTTAACGTTTGTGTGAACAAAGATGAGTCTTTATGGAATTTTCCACTAAAGAAAGAGTTTTTTGGGTTATATATTAAATGCACTGTCTTCGCTTCAACGTAAAAGCCCTCCCCCCTATTCACCTTCATGGCTATCAATTAGAATAACTTAAAAATATGTTTTCTATGTTTCAGGTGCCAATTCGCATGCCTCTTCGCACGTCAGTAGCTCATAGTTAGTTCAACAATTTAGTTAAGAATACTAGTAGTTAGTTAACGGGTGGTCTCATTATTTTCAGTTTGTTTATACTGATGTTTAGGTAAAAGTGTCAAGTAGTTGGGAATTTTCTTGTGGAGATAGTGCAAAGAAAATAATGCGCTTTGATTAAAATTCTGATGTGCTTCTATAGGAATTTGTTACGTTCCATCACTTTAAGTGAAATGTTCTAGCAAAAGTATGAGGGCCTATCACTTATTTTGACCTCTTAAACATTGTAATTAGTTTCATGGGTCAAGGTATTGCATTACTTAGATGGATTTTACAGTTTTGGTAAATAAAAATCTAAAGTTTCTGAGTAAATAATTTATTTTTTAAACAAATTGTAAAAACATTGCCAAATCCTCATTCCGGACTTTCTCGACGATTTTGCTCTTGGAGTAGTATTAATCGATGAGTGCTGAAGATATAAAAGCTCCTCTGGTATAAAAGATGAGTCTTGAGTAAGGATGAAAAGCAAGCCTTTGTAGTACGTTCCTGTGAAAATCAAAATCATTTTTTACTGTAAAGGATTATGAATTTATTGACTTTTGTTGATATCATTGAGATTATGATACAATAAACATTATATTGTACATAATAATATCCTTGTAATTTGATAATGAAAATATTAGGCTCATTTTAACCTATTTCATTTTTTCACGTATAATTTTATGTTATACACTGAAACAAAAGTGTAAGCAGGAACTAATGCAATGATTTAGCCCCACCACAATATTTTTTCAGTAGCACAGCAACATTAATATAAGCTCCAATCTTGCACAGAGTTTTGGTTCTACCATAATACGTATGAACTATACTTGTAAACAGATATCTTGATATTGAACTGTAAAAGATAATTATAGAAAGCATAAAAAATTTCTTTGAAAGAAAATATTTATCAAACCTATATTGACTTATAACTAGCGACAGGAATCTGGTTTCGCTAAAAGAGAAAGAAAAAAAGTAGGCAGGACCAAGCTGATTGGTAGTCACAAATTTGATATTTTTTTGTTTCTCGTAATCAGCTGAAGCCAGTAGAAGAGCGAGAAATGAGAATTGGATTGCTAATCCAAACTCAAGATGTGTCAAAATAGGTCAGTGTGCAGATTTTGAAGCGTTTCGAACGATGGAAACACATCTCTCACCCTGGACTTAAGACAAGATTTTCAGACAAAAAATGAAACTAAAATTCAAGACAAAATAAAAAATAAAACTAAAACTCAAGACAAAAACTAAGATAGATTCTAAGACAAAAAATAAGACAGATTTGGACACAAAAAATACGACTAAAATTATTGTTAAAAGATTGTTTTTTAAACAGTCTCTAAAGTAATTTGTTGTTGGACAATAAAATCATATTGCCTGTCCACATATAATGTCAGTCATTTAGTTCTACAATACAATTTGTTAGCAAGTTTTTAAATATTCGGTTGATTAAATTATTATTGAGGTCATCTAGCTACAGACGTCGCACAGTAAATATATTTTCCAATGTTTACGAGCCGCTAACCAACATAACGTCTATATATTGTTGAAATAATGAGAAAACAGTGACATCTTTCGCTGAAAATAAACGCAAATTCTCTGAACCCGCGAATTACAACATTTCATTTATTTCTAAAAAGATCTACATGTATAATTTCCGGTTAGAACTATAAAAGTTGTATTTGTCACCTATATTTACATTATTAGAACAACTTATCTATGCTATTGCTTGTTATGCAACAGTACACCAGTTCGAAAACAAGCTTACATCATTCTACGATAACATTCAGAATGTCAATGTCAAAGAGATGATAGTTGACAATCTACTTACTGTAGATCAGGTATTTCTTGAATAATATTTATATTATGATAGCGATTTGATGCGAGATGGTAATTAAATGGCTTTATCAGAAAGTACCTAACTCTTATCTAGCCATAGACGTCAGATGACATTGAAATATCCCAATATGAGTCCTATGAAAAGAAATTGAGGTGGCCTATACGAACGTGTGATGTTCAAGGTTAGTGAGTCTACCGATCAAAAATACAGTATGACCAAGTCTACACTGATGTTAGGCAGCGAAAACTAGTTTCGTCCACGCAACGCTACTAGTCATCCATCACCTACTACATTGATATTGAAGCTAAGCAAAGATCTTGGCACGCTATTATTGAAAGTGGTCAATTTCAGTTAAGTAGATTATTTTATGGATTAGCTGCTAAGTCGCAAATACCATGCTTGGTAGCAGAAAAGGTGTCCGGCCAGCTACGTCCAGTTTTCAAAAAGGCAGCTGAAGCTTTCCAGAAGTATGTCGTGGAACACATACGTAAAAGCTAGTTCCAATATTGGTTTGTAAGCATAGTGTATGTAAACAAACATATTGCTAGTCGATGATGCAAGATACCTTCAGAGTTTTTATTGGTTAAAAAAACTTGAAAACCAATTCCACAGCTGATAGAACATCGAACTTGATTGCTGACAAGTCTGTCTATCTCTGAACTCGCGGCTGAGCTTTTTCCAAGTCATGATAGCGTATTCTTCAGGTAAATTGACATCCATGTGTGCCATCAGGAACAAACATTCTTCATATGTATCTAGAACGAGAACATTTGCTGATTAAAATAACCACACAATAGATCAACTAGCTAGTAAATATTCTATGAAAGTACGTCACTTACCGAGCTCACATACGAACGTCGCTGCGTGTCTTGGCCAACTCAGTGATGGAGGTGCATAGTTGATGATACGATCAATTGAGAACGGCAGTTCTTCCGCCGTGGGGTAGCGCAAAAAAACGTCATCTGAGTTTCCAAATTCAAGCCAGGTTTTTGGGACGCTCTTATACGGATTTTGGCCTAAATTAGCGACCTCGTAAAACTGTACAACGGCAAACTTCTTTGGCAGAGTCATCTTGCTTAAACCCAGTCTGTCTAACAATAGAAAAACCGCAACAGAGGACATCACTTATGCAAGTAAACTATTTGCTTCAGGTTACACGCATATATGTAAGTGCTCTAGGTAATCGAGAGATAAAAACAAAGGGTTATCGTTACTAGACTTTGACACGGAATCACATTGCTTGGTAAGCTATCAACGTGCTCTTATAATGTCCTTAGATACGCTTAATTAATTGCAACCGAGTCAAAACAAAGTCATAATTAGCTGATAGTTAAATCAATCACATTTAGAGTCAAAGTTGATTAAAACAAAATAATTAATACATAGTCGCGAGGACACAATAAAAACGAGTGTACTTCGCATTTTTTATTTATTTTGATGGAAAAACAACGATCTTTTCATATCTTTCGACATCAAAACTTATCCTAGTTGACTCAGATCAGAAACAGCCCCAATTGTATGGAGTCTCTGAAGAATTTAGTCAGCTAGAGCGTTCGCTCTACTAGAAAGATTCCCAAACTTGAAATTTAACGGACTTGGTCATTTTTGAGCAATATCTATTAAATTACGTCATAATGTTGAGGATCAAAGAATTGTTCATCATTTTTATTCATTATTCAAAAAGCTTAAGATTCTCTCGATAATGAAGGATACTTGTACAATTTAGTTAAGAAATTCCAAAAGCCATGATACACAATTGGCTGAAGCTAATCGCACCACTTTTATACGTGCATGTTGCTATAAATTAAATACAATTCGTATCAAATTCAAGCAGTGCAAATAGCATCAAGATACATAATTCGAAAAGCTTCTTAATTTGTTAAGTTGTCCCGGACTTGTAACCTAGCAATAACTAAAAAATTCGCTATTTATAAACCATCCTGATTCAGCTTTGGCATATAACTATGTCACCTGTAGTTTCTTTGTACCGTCAAAACTGTAAACAAAATCAAAACATTGACAAATTAATTATAAAGAATTCTTAAACGATGAGACGAATTTTACGTCAGCGCCATGTCTAGCTTACGAGTTATGTAAAGTTTTCATACAATTACTGTGACGCATAAGGAATTTGTCATCGACGTAGATATTTAGAAATATATTCAGAACATATATATTCAGAACTATATATCAGTCCGGAATTGTATATCAGATACCATGTGAATGTAGTGAGTCCTACGTGGGACAAACGAAGCAAAAATTCAAGAAAAGACTGGATCAACATAAGAATGACTGCAAGCCGATTAATATACTCAAAACAAACTCCACTGCACTCGCTGATCATCATTTCAAGACTGGACATAACTTTAAATTTGATATGGCAAGTATTTTTGATATAGAAGACAATTGGTTCAAGAGAAATATTAGTGAAATGATCCATATTAAACGAAATAATACAGTGAATCTAAGAACAGACACCAATAACTTAAGTAATATTTATAATGATATTTTAAATGTTTCCGCGAGAATTTAGTTGACATAAACACCATACAGGTCACTGTAGTATTATGATTGTAACTTAGGTATTATACACTATCTAAGAGTAGAACAGTATTACAGCTAATATAGAGGTTGATGCATTTAGTAATATTTGATAAATAACTGTTTATGTTTTTAAAAAATAATGTTAATTGACATTAGATTCAGTATAACAATTTTACCAATGGCTCTTACGTTTTATATAATAACATATAATAGATTGTAAACCATAATGATTAAGGTATGGCTATATTTGTTATATGTTGTATATGTATAGAAAGGTTATAATATTTATGTTTTTAATTTTAGTTGCTGATGAAGTCCTAATAAAGGACGAAACGTACAACAAAGATCAAATTGATGGTTTGAATTTTTATTTGTCCTGAATTCCTGTGAAATTAGTTGGTTTATCATTTTTCCTGGACGTGATTAAATTATTTATATATTCAGAACTTACACCATCTCAGCTTTAACGTATTTGTTATTAGAATAATCGAATTTTCACAACGCATCAAATATTGTTAGAGCTTTATTCAATAGACATTAATTTCTCAACCGGTTCTAATAAAACGGGAATATTTATGATTATAATTTAAATATTTATAAGTTTATTCGACGCCACTGTCGTAAACGTTATCATCAATCAGAATAAATTATTCCACATGGTCGCTGTTTTTCTCAGAGTAACCCTTCCCACGTAGCTGTTAACCAGTTTCTGGCTTTTTGATCTACCACAACTCCATTAAGCTGGCTCTAAAAAAAGATTTTATTATAAATCATGTGATGAAATATTTATGACTACGTTTTGACGGTTTTGAATAATCTCGTCGCTTTATTTCTCACATTAAATTGATCTTAACAAATTCCTAACAATCAAAAGCTTGGCACCATAACACCGGTTGATGACTATAAATAATTACAATAATGACTGTTGCCGAGTGATTTATCAGTTTTCTTGTTCTGAGTTAATTAAAATCATCAGTTATGGAATTTTCGTGTTATTTTTTTATTAAAAAACAATGCGCAGGGGGCTGCGATGATCGCTAAATACTTTTACAAGTTGATGGTCTTCGTAGGCAGTCATACTGATGTACAGGGTTTAGTAGATCAAAAAATCCATGAAATTACACATAATATATAGACATTAATGTAACTAAAATAGTAGCTTCTTTAACGAAAGCTTACAAGAATATATGTAACGTACATAAATACATTTCAACTATATAAATTTTGGCTTCTATCTTTGTTATGTTATGCTAATGTATCATAAATGAATCGAAATATATTTTTATTATAGTCAAAGCATACATTTTTTCTATGAAGTAATGAAAGATTCTGATAGTAACAATAGCATATATTTATATGTATTCTTAATATTTAAAATCAAATTTATACTAAAGGAACAATAAACAGGCCGTGGCTGACTAATCGATTACTTTTTAAAAATATAATCTACCTAGAAAATAGCTTCACGATGTTTTAGCATGTTTAGCTCTTATATCCTGAATTTTGCTGCGTAAGGTATTAATGACACTCTGCGAGTCAAATGCACCCCACTTTTTTTTCAGAGCATGCTTTTCGACGAACGTTAATATAGCCATTCTTGCATTCGCATCTAACCCAGGCCTGACATTCTCGCCGCTTATATCAAAAGCGTTAGCTCTAACGCCTGTTAGTGAACAAACACTCAACGCGCTCGGAGTAAAAATTTCCTCTAATAACTTTCGAGCTAACGCTTTACTGTCTCTTGCAGATCGCATACAATGCGCTAGTTTTATAGAGTTGATAAATACATTGCTTCCAGAGACAAGTTCAACGAGGTTAAGTTGCGGATCATTCTCACGGTACTTTAGTGTCCATTTAGTATCATGTGGATCGTATTCCGGAGGTAATACAAAGGACCGAATGTGGCCACGAGTCGTTTTCGGAACCTTATTATCCCCATCCTGATGTTTCACATCTTTGGTATCTCCACCCCTATCGTCATAATTTTCGCTACTTTTAGAGTCCACATCGTTATCTTCCTTTTTGTCTTCCTCCATATTTACATCAGGGCTTTCTTCCTCTTTCCTCTCAACTTGATTTACTTCAGCTGTTTGTTGAACTTCCGCCGTAACGTCTTTAGACGTCACTACAGCGACTTTGCCCTTCTTCAATGCTCGCAAATTTTCTGATGCATTTGCCATACATTCGATCACTTTTTGAGACTGAACTAATGATTCGTGCAATTCATGAGCGATCTGACAGGTTTCCGAAAAGTTGATTTTCATTTTTTGAAAAAGGTCAAATAATTGATCCGCCCAGACATCTGCCTGATTCAATACAGAAATAACTGATTGGTTTGCTTGTTCATTAGAGTTTGGACTAGTATTTATAATTTCGTCTGAACTTAGTTCTGAAGAATTACTTTGCTCATCATAATCAACATCTTGCGACGACAATATTCCACTCAACGTAACTGCTTCAACCATCGGTGATCTTTCCTCCATAGAACTCTCTTCGGTCTGCTCTGAATGATTTGCCTCTTCCAGAGCTTTTGAATTAGCAGAGGACTCATTCTCTGCTGTAGTTCCAGAGAAGATATTTTGTTCAATACAGCTCGCTTCAGTCAATTCGTCAACGACCATGTCTTCTATAATTGAATCCTGATGCTCTGTTGAATTTGCACAGGCAATCGATTCATGTGAAGCCCTCGTCATTTTACTATGTGTGGTAGGTTCGGAAGTAGCACACTCCACTTCTGAGGAACGTGTCTTCTGTTTCGGCAAAACTTGTGGATGCTCTTGAATAACTAGTGATGACTCTGAAATCTCTAGTTGACTGAACTGGTTAGCTACGTTAGTAGGGTTTTGAATGACAAACGAAGTATTTGATCCGATCTCTGGGTCCTGGATCAGAGGTTCTGAAAGATCAAAAGTAAAGGTTCGTAGATTTGGAATCCTTTTGTTTTGTATTCCTCGAGTCAATGCAAGGTGATGTAAATGTTTACGATGAATTGACAATGATTGGTTTTCTTGTGGTTTCTGATAATAGTTACAGATTTGGTTTACAAACGTGAGAGGATCCTTTGAAGTATAAAATGTTTTCCCCGTGCTTCGAGAGCCAGCTCCCAGAATATCAACTTCGGTTTCGTTATCCTTTTCCGGTATTTGCTGAATATAGGGATATCTGAGTAACAAATCCTCAGAACTTGATCGAACATCACGAAAGGCTTGATCTTGGTGTTTTCTTTCATAAGGTTTCTTCATTACTACTACATTCAGTTTATTTCTAATCTTTTTTGATTGACGGTCTGGCAGCTTGATTATTTTCAGTGGCGGACTGGATCGTTTTGTTGTTGTAGCTGGCAAAAGTTTATAATCTAAAACATTCAAAAAAATAGTCTAACTATCATTAGCGATGAAAATCATCAAAGTGAATTCGCATGGCTTTCAACAATACAGATACTCACCGATTCTCATTACGTCCGAATATCTATTTTTAGAAGCATTATAAATTTTCTTCATAATGAACTCACAAGCATTCTCATATGAATCTAAAAGAAATACAACTTCATTATTCATTCAGGTTATTTACTATTCTCTGACTACATCATAGTTGAGTATAGTAACTTATTCACGAGTCAATGTATTGAAGGTTGTACATTTAAGAAAATACTCACGTGATTCAAATTTTATAATTGCCATGTAGAGTTTCCATTTTTCCGAAGGTTCATCGCCGTTCATAATTCGCAGTTTAGTTATCGATGGAGATTCATCGGGATATGCAATTAGGCTCTTTCTATCTGTCGCTCTGCGGCCTCGTATCCAAGAGTGAGGCACACAACTGTAGTCACCAATATCTGCATGTGGTAACTGCAAAAATTGGACCACTACGTACGGGTACCCAACAGCAATATCTTCCTGGAAGAATAAGTACATACTCCTTACAATAACATATCTAGCCCCAACAAATTACGCATTAGCGCTTGTTTCGTTTATATGGCCTTGAATCTCCTTCGTTTAAGGGCCTCTGGGTAACGCTCAGCTAGATAAGCATCAAATGCGGTTATTACAACGCAAACAAAAAATTCTCACCATCATTTTATCCTATCTTTCTGTTGATGGCAATATCACGCAGTATGAATTAACACATGTCGTCAAACTTGCTGAAAATATTAAAATGAAATATATTTACTAATTTTTTTAGGAACACGTTTGTCCACTACGTGAGCAGAGTGATGTTTACAAGCTATTTTTACCGTTCGTTTTTATAGGAACATGAGACAGAAAGAGGAGGAAACTTCATGGGTACGCCCACGCCCTCTGACTGAACTATCGATACTAATGGGCTAGTCAGTAGTATTATGTAACTACCATTCATTGAAACACAACACGAGCATTCGTGACTATTGATAGTCGAAACCATTGACATGACATATAGCATGATGGGGCAGGTGGTGTAAATTGAGTTAGCTGACGTTAAGGGCCCATAAATTGAAACGTTTTATTTGATAGTTGATCGCATAATGTTTATGAACAAGGAACCAACACACTTGAATCAATAAAATGATGTCACTTTTAACATGTAAGATACAGTGGTATTGAATCATTAAACAATGACGATGTGAAACATTATTCAACTGGTGAATCCATAGAACTATAATCGGATGTTAATACAATATATAGGAAAATAGTAGTTTACTTATAATTGATTATGGTTCAACGATTCTTCTATTAATGATTTTCCTGTTTTTAAAATTAATTAACATAACAGGGATTGATTACATACTAATGAATATGTTTTCTAATCAAGACTACTTAATCAGGTCTTTTTATCAACCAAAAATAAATTAATGCTTTACTCAGCTTGCATGTGAAGCGATAACAACCTTAACTACATCAATTATTTATATGTCCTATATGCGGGTGCGTCCAGCTGTAGAAATAAAGTATCTGACATAAATATATCCTGTGTCATTTATTAATTTTCCTAGAAAAGTAATTTAATCATTGAATTGGTGCTATCGAATAACACTGTCATCAATTGAAAGCTCTCTGTCAACAGCACTTAATGAGGTACAAGAATATAGTGTTAATCTACAAAGCCTAAACTAATCTAACAGATAAAACCACCCACTAATTAAACTTATTATACTCTACTTATAATTATGACCCGTAATCAGTTACATAATAGTTACAAATTACTATTCTAATATATATTTAAACTTTGCATGTCTGCTCATACTTGGCTCTTATGTCATTAATCTTGGTCCGAATAGTACTCATAACAGCTGATGTGTTGGCCATACTCCAACCACATTTCTTTCCGTGTTGTTCAACGAATGTTAGCAGGACCATTCTCGCGTTTTCATCTAGTCCTGGCCTGATGTCAATGTTCACGGAATTGAAAGCTTTTGCTTTTCCACCTGTCCATGTGCACACGCTCAATGCGTTCTGGCTGAAGACTTCTGTCAATAGCAAGCGTGCCAGCGTTCTGCAGTCGTTTGATTCTCTTATACAACGTTTCAGCTCTTTCCTTTTGACGTAAACACCAGTTCGAGGTATGAGCTCGACGAGTCCTCGCTTATTCTCTCGGTACTTTAGAGTCCACTTGGTATCATTTGGATCATATTCTGGTGGCAGAGAGAACGTACTTCTTAGCTCATGAATCGATGTTGTTGCATTGTCGACACCAGTAGTGTTATCGTTATCTCCAGCTAGTATTTCTTTAGTAACTTGTGATATCACATTGTTAGGTGGAGACGCAGAATTTTGGAGGGGCTCTATCGAGTTCAATTTATCGACTTTTCCTAATAATGCTTTGTATGTTTGTGCACATACGAGGTAGGAATTGCGTAAGCCATCGAACATATTACGTGTTAGAGACAAATTGGCTCCCATTTGAGTAAAGAGAGTACCAATCATATCCAACGTGTCTTGCTCAACAATTATTCTGGATTGTTTATGCTGATTTTTCTGTGTTAGGTTTTGTTCGGCTCCCAGAGTCGCCTTATTGGCTTCTGGAACTACTTCGTTTTCTGATTCAATTTCGTTGTCTGTTGCATTTTCAGAATCTGAAGATGTCTCTTGATAAAGTGAGCCTTCTTCTTTTTCCAACCATTGGTCCGTCTGACACATACTTTCCACTGCTCTTGAAACGCTTTCAGGAGGAGAAGATCCAGCGATTGCTTCTACACTGTGACTAACATCCATCATTAAATCTGTTTCGGTAGCTCGATTAATCATAGTTTTTTTCATACCAGAGCATTGGCAATTATGTTCATTTTGAACCAAAGTAAATTGTGTTGCCTGTATTTGGTTAGATGATGGTATAGGTTGAACTTTGGTGTTTTCCGTAGAAGAAGCTAGTTCTATCGTCTGAGTTTGAGAAATAGCTGCTAGATTTGTATTATTAAATTTTGTAAAACTTTGGTTCACTCTTTCCTGTAAATTCAGTGCATTGATTAAACAGCTTCTCTGAGCATCTAAAAGTGCCTGACTTAGAGTCTTCGAGGTAGAGAGTGATCGTGATCTCTTAGTGACTTTTTGAGGCTTAGGAATGGGAGAATTACGCATCGATTTGAGCGGAAGGCCATTTTGTGTGTTTGTTGTACGCGGATCTCGATAATTCTGTTGATCTTGTTTTTTTTGTGAATGTTCGGCATCCTGATGTGACTGGCTCGATAAAAGATGTGCAGGAAATTGAATATTCATTTCCTTGGGAGCAATAGGCTGGTAAATAACGTGAGTTTCGTCAGTATATCTCTTCATCAGTTCATGGCCTTTCACTTCTTGTGAGTACGCGTTGTTAATCGGTACGTATTGATTTACATTTTGGGGAAGGAACTGAATGGGCTGGATGATCGGGTTCGGTTGACTTTGTATAACAAATCCTCCGTTCATCCTAGCATTTTGATAATAAGCCTTCTGATCAAGTGTTGGAGTCATGCTTGACCTCCTAAGCATATCTTGAAGACGTGCGAATTGCTGCAAATAGTCTTCCCGAGTCGGCAAATATTGTTGTTCATGTGATGTCGCAAAAAAAGCGTTATACTGGTGAGCTAACTTTGAGAGGTTCTGTGCGGCTGGTGTATTCATCATACCTTGGGGACGGGGATCTCTCTGATTAATAAAGTTATCTCTCATTCCATGTCTATCGTCATTTATAAGTGATCCATCAATTTGTGCCTGTTGTAAGTGATGTTGAGCAAATTGTGCAGATTGTGCGACTGTTGAACTACCAGGTAAGCCGAGTTGTCTCATTGAATTTGGTGGATATTGTAGGGTTGCAATATTTCTTGCGATACCCTCTAGGCGAGTTTTCTTATCAACGGGATTTTTCACTTTCTTCGCTACTGAAGATTGTTGTCTAGCTTTTAGTTTTAACATTTGAGTCAGCTTTTCCGAAGTGTGTTTATGATGAGAAGTAGATGACATGCTATTAATAATATCTTGAGAGTGCAGAAATGAGGTGTTCTCAGCCACTTCATTAGAATTTCTCTCACCGAATCCTTGGGGTTGGAATTTCGTATTCAAAGTGTTACTGACTGAAAAAATTGGTAATTGAGGGTATCTATATTGCTGGAAAAGCTGGTTAGTTGTACTAGAAGATGTCGGTACTATCTTTGGCGTAGTCAAAATCCATTGAAGTTGAGTTTTTTGGCAGTCATTGGGTTCCTTCGATTGTCCAGCAGTTACATCTCGCGAGTGCGGTTCGGGAAGTAAGTTTTCATGAGGAACCAGTGGAGTTGGTGTCCTGTTCATCGAATCAGGCTGATGAGCCGGTTTGAAATTGCTCGGAAGAGTTTTAGTTGATGGTTTTTTATCCGTGACAGGCTTAGGCATAATGTTTTGACAGCTATGGAGATCTCCCTTAGATCCATTCAGATCTACAGTTGACATGCTAACAGGTTGTTGATAGTCTTCGCCAACAGGTGAAGGATGTTTTTCACCTGAAAACTTTGATGAAGTATGTTGCTCAGCTATAAACTTCGGTGAAGATTGTCGGTCGATTGGAGGCTGCGGTGAAGGTTGTCGATCGATTGGAGGCTGCGGTGAAGGTTCTCGACCAGTTGGAGGCTGCAGTGACAGTTGTTGCTCGGTTAGCGGCTGCGGTGGAAGCTGATACTCAACCGGAAGTTTTGCTAAAGTAGACGGAACTGAAAGGTCAACTGACTGATTTTCTTTGATAATTTCAGGCTGAGCACTCCGCTCATCGTTCATCTTGCCATTGAAAGCGTAGTTTGTCTTCGTCTGATTTTTCTGAATCACCTGATTGCCAGTGATGATTACTGATTGTTCTCGTATTAAGCTACCAGACGCTGCTGTTATGTAATCAGTAATGACGATAGGCTCAGGATTTTCATCTAATTTCAAGCACTTGTTATTCAGGTTTTGATTAGATTCCTAAGATAGCGGTCGTCGTATCGAAATTCTTGGTAGTGGTTTTCGAGGATTATTATAGTGTTTTACTGTTATCTGAGGCTTGTCTGAGTTACTTCCTGACCAAATAGATTGATTGGCACTTCGTAGCTTTCTATTCAGTTGAGGTTCTGGTTCAGTTTCTGAAACGAGATTCATTAATAAATCGTTCAGAAATTAGGCTTGTAGCAGACATAACACTTGAAGTCTCATATATTCTTTACCTTTATTTCTTGATACTTCTTCAACAGGACCATGTTCATTCCTCGCTATCCATAATTCAGCATCTTCAAAATCGTCTGAAAAAATAATTAATTTTAATGGTTACTTATTCCAGGATTATTTTATCAATTAATAGTTCAACACAATGGAAATTGATTATTAACAATAGTAATTTATTCACCTGAGTCATATTTAAAGTAGGCTATATAGAACCTCCATGAATCGTTTGGTCGCTCTTTTCTTCTAACGCGTTCTCTCGTTTCCAAGGGATCTTCGTTGTTCGGGTATGTCACAAC